CCCCCCCCCCCCCCCCCCCCCCCCCCCCCCCCCCCCCCCCCCCCCCCCGAGGAAGCATGAAATTGCGAATCGTTTTTGGTCTCTAACTTTAGTACGCATAGGTATGACCCCGACGCTTCCGCACCTCCCTGGTACAGGTCTCGCTTTCGAGGCGCCGGGAGGTGGGTTCACTCCTCCCGCACCATCCACGGCACTTGTCTCTTACCCAAGGGCTTCATCTTGGTCGAGGTGCCGGTGGGAACTCCGCTGAAGCCGTCCCCAGACTCCGGGGCCAACCACCTCGACCGCTCCAATATTCGACTAGGCAGTACTTACAACATCCCCAAAGCCTTGTTCGCTCTCGGGCAGGCAATATGGGGTATAACGACGGTCTACCGGACTCGGGGTGATCAGCTTCAGAGATACGGGTACGCAGCTTTTGGGGTAACCGTAGCCCCGTACGCCTTCATGTCTCTCGTCAATCTCGTCGCTCTCCTGCTCACTCCAGAGTATAACTGTATATACCTGGTTCACACCCCGGACCTCGACAGAGCTAGGAGGCAGGGCGGCAGGTTCTCGGGTCTCGTGGCAAGCGTCGACTTGGACAATATCAAAGAGCCACTGAGGACGTTTTGGCCTTCCCAAGCGGCTCACACGGCATATTTCGCTCTGACGACAGTGCTGCTGTTGGTTCCACTCGTCATCGTCGCAGGCCTGACCGGCTTCAATCCGGGCCAGAGTACGATAAACCAGCGAGTGTGGATCTTGTGCTGGCTTGGATTTGGTATCTTAATGGGCCCTCTCATCCGGCTGAGCACCATCTTCCCTTCTGAGATCCACGGCGTTTACAAGATCCGGGCAAACGATGCGATAGCGTATGCTCTGGAGAATGCGAGTTTCCTGGAACGCGTGATAGACTGGTTGGTGACCAAGTACTTTTGGGTCATCGAGACATCGTTTTACTGGTATGTGATCATCGGAGCTGGCATTCTATTCACTCCAGCTATTGGTGGCATGGTTGTGGTTGGGCAGATGTTGGAGGAATTCGGCTTTTGTAGACGTCTGGACCGCTGAAGTCCGTGCTGTATTGGCATCTAGACAATGTACGGCACGAGAACCTTTTGACTAAAATGGAATGAGCCTTTAAATGATTTGCCACTGCGGCAGAATCGTGTTATCAAGAAACTATCTCGTTTAGGTTCTGTATCGTTCTAGGGATCTACATGCAATCTTGTTATCAAATGTTGAACGAACTCTCCCAGGCATTGCCGAATAATATGAAATAGATGTAAGAGACGCCGTTATGAAATCCTCCAAATACTCGTAGTTCTGATATCACTAGGTCCCTCCCCCCCTCATTTGAAACTCATTCTATCCCTCACCCTTGATACTCGTCCTCCGTCCTCCACGCAGTCGCCAATAACCAGGTCGCGCGAACCATGGTCATCAGCATCACCAAATCTAACCTTCACATCCGCAAGCAACCTGCCTCTCACCTCGTCCGGTGTGGTTCCTCCGCCCAGCGGAACTCCAAAGTTCGGGTTGCCTCTCGTCAATGTCGTTACGTTCATGAGCAACTTCGGAACCCAGATGTTCAGGTCCAGGATAAGTCCTGCTATCGCGGAGAGCAGCAAGACGACGGTCGAAATGATAAGAACAGCCATCCAGCCCTGGTCATATCGGAAGACAATGACGTTGTTCAGGACTGTGGCATTCGTACCCGTGAAGTTGTAAGTGATGGTGCCAGGGCTGCCAAGACCGTCATAGTTCTCCGGATGACCCAACATCAACGGCTCCGCTCCCACCGTGGCCAGCCAGTAGGTGTTGAGCACCTGCCCCAAACGGAGAGTGAAGTCCTTGATATCGACCGTGCTCAACGCTTCTGTCATGTAGAGGGCGGCCGTCGCGTTGAAGCCCCAGGACGGATCGTAGAGGTATCCCTGGATGCCAGATGGGGCCCCAACCGTTCCCATGGGATCCGTGAGCGTCGCAAGGAGGCCGAACAAGTACTGGGCACCAATCTGTGTGGCGGATACACCCTCGCACTGATCGAAGAAGGTCAGGTTTTTGTTTGGAAGGTCTGGTAGCTGCGAGCGCCGGATGCTTGCTGCGTTGCAGTCCCATCCGTTGCAGTCAACCTTGACTTCGACGTACGAAGTTTCGGTGGTGCAGTTGGCAAAGGTTGATTCCAGTGGTTCGTCTCCTCTGTCCCAACTCCAGTACAGGAGTCTCTGAGTGGGAATTTCCGGGTCATCGCAACGTGCAAGAGTTTGATCGTTAACACCATTGGGGTACGGCAACGTGCCAAGGCCGCCCCAGCTGATCTTGGTGGCACAGGTGCCGATTCCCTGAGTTGAGCATGAATCGGTTGCGTTCGCCTCTGTGATCACATTCAAGCGATCTAGGCCTGTCGCGGTGCTGTTCAAGGGTGGGTAGATGTACCTGCAGTCCATCGTCATGTACGACGTTTCCATGGAGAAAGTCGTGTTGGTTGTCTCCGAGAGGTTTCCGATTGGCATTCCCAGAAGGGATGAGTACTTGTAACCGGTGGAAGACTTGTTCAAGTTGATCCAGCCGTTCTCGTCCGGGGTTTGTTCCGCGAGCAACGGCTCCAGAAGAGGAATCTTGACGTTGCCCCAGGTGTCCATGCGAGCTGTGTCATACGTCTTGGGTTGTGCGAGGGCACTTTGAAACAGGAAGTTAACCGGATTCTGTGCGCCGGCGTATTTGGACACTTCGAACTGTGTTGGGAAGGGCGTTTTGACGTTGAAGTAGGGTATCTCGACGAACGACGTAGCCGGTTCATTCTTGAATAACAGAACTCGGAGTGTTGCTTGACCTCCCAAAGGGGACAAAGACCAAAGCACGAACAACAGGATGCTTGAAATGCCGATGCGCTTGGATTCGACTATCGTGGTTACGGTGCCGGCCATTGTGGTTGATCCGAAGAGTTTGTCCAAGAAACCGATAGATTCGCCTTGTTGCAGCCGCCAATGGGCATAGCTTCGGATGGATCTTCCTACCACAAACGCCCACATCAACGGCACGATGGTAGGACCCTGTTAAGATTAGCTACTTGCAAGATGGAAAGTTGAAACTTTGATACGCACAAGTCGGGATAGCTCATAGACGAAGTCTGCCTCCGACGGCAAGTCCTTTGTGTCTCTGCCATTGTTGTAGAACAAAAAGCCGACGTATATGACGAGGAAACAGCCCAGGATGATGGACACCACGGTGAAGAACAATTCCCACAGTCGGGAAGTGCCATTTTCGAGTTTCCTCGCAGGCCAATCTATTGTCCTGTTGGTCCCGTTGGTCGCATTCGTGACGGTCGCGTTCAACCGACTCTTCTCCTCGCGCCCATGGTCCGAGTTTGAAGAGTTGTCCATGATGGGTTACTGGAATTGGTTTGCCAAGATGGTGGAATCATCAGGTGGGTGTCCTCGGGACTCAAGACAAAGGCGTCTCCGTTCCTTTTCTGTTTTCCGGGGAAGGCGGACACGAAATAAGACCGTTTGTTGGTTCCCAATGCCCCTGCAACATTATGGGCCGATTTGCTTTTGAAGAACCAACACAGCGTTGCGATTGTCGCCTTGATCGGCTGGGGTTGGCGCTTATTGCATTTACCGCCCCGGGATATCAAGACCCAGCCGAAACCATGCACAACCAATGAGCGACAAAAGTAACATTGGGGGTGCTGCGCGATCCCTTAATCCTATCAGCTACAACAAGGCTTTTCGACTGGGGGCCACACAGCCCGGCCAGGCTAGGCAACGACGGGGCTCTGTTTAGAACTTGAATGCAGCTAACTCGAGGTGACCCATCGGCAATGTTGCGTTAAGCTGACTTGATGGTCGGTCATTTTGATGATCATCATGCTACGAGAGCTCTGGCGACATCACGGATGCTGCTCTGGATGCAGCTCTGGATGCAGCTCTGCCACTCGCACCCGGGAATTGAAGCCTCCATAGTCGCTGGTCTGCACAGAGAAACACAGTGTTGTCTGGACCCCTGCAGAAACTCGTCACGCCGCCTCCTGGCAGTCAGCATGCATGTTCTGACCAAGAATGAAGTTTCTCAACTTGAACATCAAAACTTACCAGTCACTCTGACGAATCCCAGCAACGAGCCACCTTCGCTCCAGATCTCAACGCCGTCACCACACGCAGCCCACACGTTGCCCTTCTCACACATAAGATGACAAGGTGCCCCCCTCCTAGCAAGGGCAAACAATCGTCTGTTAGCGAGAAAGACTGATCCTCGTCGCTTCATGATGTCGAAGGCGTAGATACTTCGCGGCCTGGGCGTGTTAGCTTTCGTCTACAATGTCAGGACTTCAGCACTCACTGCACCAAATCTAGATTCCCTTCAGCCTTTACACCACCGGAGTCCGCAACGTAAAGTGTTGAAGAATCCTCATCAATAGCGATCCCAGTCGGTCGAGTAAAGCCGTCCGCAACAGCCCTCACCTCCCGCGTCATCTGATCGTACCGGTACACCGAGGGCGGCAATTGCGGCTCTCTCCTGAAGTCCATCTCATGCCCACAGCAAGGATCCGAGAACCAAACTCCGCCTCCCGATAACACGGCGCTGTGAGGCGAATTGAAGTCGCGGCCGTAGTACGACGTGATCACGGCACTTGGCAGCCGGCCCGCGGGCGCGTGGAACACTCCGCCGGTCTCGGGCTGAAGCGTGCCTTGCGAGCACCAGAGAATTCCGTCGCCTGCCAAGCACCCGTTCGCCGGCATCGCCATTGTCGGAGGGGGCCTGAGTTTGGACCATTCGGAGGTCAGGGTACCGTCCTCCGGGGAAAGAGTGACGATCACTTTGGACATGAGAATGGTGGCTGGTCGGGTTGGGTCGGTTGCCGCAAGGGGCGCGGAGGTGGTCCACAGCTCTCTGCGAGAGGGGACATAGACGCAGCCTCGGTGGAAGAGAGCGTGTGCGCTGGCTTCTGCGGATGATGCGAGGAGGGCGTGGTTTGGACTGGGACCGATAATTGACCGCAAGGCTGGGTCGTACAGGATGATTGAAATATCAGACTAGACGCATACCTGGTCAGAGGTCGTTGACTCGTCTCAGGTTTCGAAGTCTGAGTACTAATGATGCTTTCTTTACCTTATTGTCTTGCGAGTCCCCTGGCGGCGCATGGTTTCGGCGATCTCTGATCTAAGCCGCATTGTTAGTGAGTACTCGACCCTCTTGGTGATGCCTTGTTAGATCGTGACGACCCGGTGCTGGGTCGCAGGCCTGCTTACCTGTATAGGCGTTGGCTCAACTTCAATTCCTGTTTTCGTGAAGACCTTATTACTCATCGTGTCGTTTGCTTTGCGGCATGGTTTTGTTTCTGTCAAGTTTGTTTTGTCTGCAGCTGGTCAAAAGAAGGCAATGCCAGCCCAGCCGGCGACTAGGGTAAGGCCAGTTGGTTCAGTTACCCAGCAAGGGCCACCAGTTCGGGATACAAACGCAGCCCCGATAAGACCATCATCGGGAGGAAAGAGCATACCCTAAACCATTTAAAAAAACAATGATGAGTGACTTCAGATTATTGGTGAACTGGGGTCGCCGATGATGCTGCCAACATTTCTCGGCAGCTGTCCTTCATCACGACTGTCATTCTTCTTACAGGAGGGAACATACGCATTGAGATTGAGTTTGTGTTGCTGGCCAAATTTCACATGCCACATTTGCCACCGTTCCACGGCTGTCTGCGATGAGGCAACAAGAAGTCAACTGTATTGAGGAGCTCGACTGGAAACTGAGCGCTGGAACTGATTTGCTGTACTTTTGATGCATGATGCCGCCAGCTTGTGAAGTTCATCAGTGTCAAGTATCCGATTCAAGGTCCATGCGATATATCCACCAGCCGCATCAAAAAGAGCGATTGTTGCAAAGGCTCTGCCTCAATTTTCGAACTCCAGGAGTCTTCGTAAGCCCAAGTGTTCATACTGTCCACAGACCAAAAGCATCCAAGGATCTGAGAGCTCGCCACTGATAATTATCTAGGTTAACTCCAACCCGGTTCTCTTGCCGGTCACTGTGTGCCTAAAGACTTGTTTGTGCCTTCGCTTCCGGTTGGCGGAAGACTAGAGGCAAAAGTGATATTCAATATTTCCCGGGCCACTGGTCCTTCTACAAGACGTAGTAATTTCTCAGGGCCAACCAGTCTCTTCGGCAAAGCGGAGGTTATTGTACGTTGGCCCAGAAAGAGACGTCGAACAAAATGCGTCGTACTTGAAGCTTGGACATGGTGATTTCAGAACGGCCCCGCGGTGGTGTGTCAAGCTGCACTTCCTGCCCGGCATTGTCTGTGTTTTCTGCCGGGGCTTTGTCGTCCATAAAGCTGATTGTCACGTCCGTAGAGCGGCTCGCCATCGTGCTGCTGGTCAGAAAATGTGTTTCATTCCCATCGACCAAGTCCTCTCTATGAATACACTAGGTCGTAATTGACCAATGACTCGTCCAATCGCCCGTCGTCTAGTGTTTCGCCTTCTCGTCCTTGTCCGCGCTGTCCAAAAACTTCCTGTATCACTTGTCAGCGCAAATCCGACACGGACGGCTTCCGTCTGCCCGGGCAAAATGACGCACTTGATGAAGTCGGCCTCGTCGGAGCTGGAGGCGTTGATGGGGGGAGCGGCGGTGGCCTTGGGCTTGCTGCCGCTGGTGCCGTAGAAAGCGCCGCCGAAGAGGGTAGCGAGGACACCCATGGCCAGCTGTTGGATGCGAATGTCAGCTTCCTGTATTTGCAATTTGCTGGTCGGGAGAAGGCGTCGCAGGGAGCAACATGCGGACTCGGAGGTGCACGTACGTAGTGGGAGCCGATCTGGCGGCCGGCGACAGTGTACATCTGAACCATTTTGGCGGATTGGGGGGTTTTCGAGCCTTCGGAGGGGAATTGGTTCGATGGGGTAGAGGGCGGATTGGTGTTGATTGAGACTCAAAGCCGGGTCGATACTCGGAGCTCGAAATTCGTTCGGAAGCTGTGAAAAAGGATGCCTCGAATGTCAGGCGAGCAGCTTCCGCGGCAGAGCGCGGTTCGGAGAGCGGGGGATGCAGCCACCCGACCGATATCCCCGGATCACAAGCCACCGCGTATGGAGGCAGGAACTGTGGCGCAAGCTGCTCATAACTCACAGGTCCCGTCCCCTCAGCCCAGGGAAGCTGCTAGCTTTAGCGGAAGCGAAGCCGACGTCACTTCCCGATATTGGATCAGAAGATCAAGCCGCGGGCGGGCGTTTCCGGCGCGCAAGAGGTCGCCTCGCCCTGTCTCCCCCTCCATCAGCACCGTCGCCATCCATGCGCACTTAAACCCGTCAACACCTCCTTTCTTTCTGTCAGCCTACAATTCAGACGAAGTATACTCCATCGAATAAACTCACGATGTGGTGGGGAAACAAGAAGGCCGAGGAGCCGAAAGAGTCGTCCAAGGACAAGGACAGTGGCAACGGCAATGGCGCCAAGAACTTCGACCCCGACAGGCTTCCACCACACCAAAAGCTTCCAAAAGCCCTGCAAAAGATTGTCGACAGATCCGACAAGGAAGAGAACTTCTTCGATGAGCTAGTGGACGGGTAGTACGTGCCCTCGATTCCTCCCGATAGCTCTGCTGACATCGCTCCAGCGCACCCGAATCTACCGAGTCCAACGTTCGTTACGCTGCGTATGCGACGAGAATACGCACAATCCTGCTGTCTGCACACCGATATGTCGCCTACACCTCTGACATTGGCGAGTCCTTCCGTCCCGTCGCGCACCCTCTTCTAGTCAGGGGCGCTTATGGTGTATCGTGGCTGTACATACTGGGTGATGTCAGTTACGAGGGTTACAAAGCGTACTGGTCGAACCAGCGCATCCTCAACCCGCATCTCCAGCTCACCGAGAGGCAAGCGAAGGCCACGGGGCTGCCGGGTGCAGTGACGGACGCGACGCAACCCAGCCAAGTCGTCCCTGGCGGTAAGGTGGCGCCGTTGGACGACTACCGTACCGTCATGATCCAGCGAGGAATCTTCCAGAGCATTGCCAGTATGGGTCTGCCGGCCTTCACGATCCATAGTGTGGTACGTTACTCTGGTCGTGCGATGAAAAACGTCAAGAACGCGAGAATCAGGACTTGGGGTCCCATTGGGCTTGGTCTCGCTGTTGTTCCCTTCTTGCCGAGTCTTTTCGACGAACCAGTCGAGAACGCTGTCGAATGGGTGTTCCACAAGGGTTTCGAGTCGTACGGTGGTAAGGAGTTCGTCGGCGACGCACCTGCCACAGGCCGGGAAGACTTGCTGGCGAAGCGGCCCAAGGAGAAGGAACTGTAGATTTGGAGTTTCAAGGACGGCATGGACGCTGGCGTTGTTAACATCTTTCTCGTCTTCGTCCTCCATGTTCGCCGCCGTCGCCTGTCGTCGTCGTGGTGGGAGCGTTCCACACGATTTCTGGCGTTGACGTCGATGAGGAACAAAACTTATGGAATGGGGTCGGATATTTCTACTCAATGGTTGGCTTTGGTTCGGTGCATTAGGAAATCTCACACGTGGAAACGCCTGCAGACGGTTCAGCAGTAGCCTCGTTGGCGTGTGGTGTAATCAAGGGTATATATGGATTAACGGAAAATGCTTCTATGAACAATACACTTCATCAAGTCGTCACTCCATGTCGTTAAACCTCCATCAAGTCGGGCGGTGGGCCAACACCGCGCAACAAGACGACAGTGTTACCGCTGACCAACGAGGCCCCGACCTTCTCGTTGAATTCCAGTAACCTCCCCCCTTCCACATGGAACACTCTAAGCTTGTCTTGCTCGTTCGATGACCGGTTGTTCACGTTTTCCACTTGTAACCTCCTCGCCGCCTCGTCCAGCACTCTTCCAACCACCCAGTCTTTCGAAAAGAAGAATTCTCCCTTGGGAAATTTGGCCTTGGCAGTTTCCGCTTCGGCTTCAACGTAAAGGTAAACCCTCTTTTCTTGCGGTAACTTCTCGTCGCCCTTCGCCGTCTTCTTCAGTTTGTTCACGGCAACCAATCTCGCCGAGGCGGAGGTGGGCTTCGGTTTCGGTAGCGCTCTGCCCGCCTGCTCCTTCTTCGCTGTTCCCCACGCCTTCAACTTATCAAATGCGCTTCTCGTCCTCGCCGCGACGTCGATCTGTGAGCCGGGGCGCGCGCCGAGCGGTACGAGGTTCTTGCAGTCGTGATCCTCCTTCAGGCGGTGTTTCAAGCAGTAGTCGCGGTTGCAGCCCGGGCAGTGGACGCCGGTGACTAGTGAGGTGCCAATGGTGGTCTTGCAGGAGGGCGAGGCGCAAGGCTTCTCGGAGACGGTGTCGCGCAGCTGGCGGCCGGCGCCGTATGCGGGCTTCGCGAGCTCGGCTTGGCGGCGGCGCGCGGCCCAGGCACCGGCGTTGGCGCACTTGTGGGAGGACTCGGAGCGGTGGTCGAGACAGAAGGTGTGCTTGCAGCTCTGGCAGAAGAAGGGAAGGAAGTCGAGCTGGTTGCAGTAGTCGTATTCGCAGTGCTTACCCACGAGGGTCGCGTCGAAGCCGTCTTTGGACTCGTCCATCTTGACGTAGCTCGTCTCGTCGGAATTGGATGAGGACGCCATGGTGATGACGTGTGAGCTTTATTTATTCCGTAAAAGAGTGTATACCAGAGCGATTCGTGCGATGGGCGTACGTAGACCTCAGCAAGTCGGTGGCTCGAGGTTGAGGAGTGAGATGGCGATATCTGCTGAGAAATGGCTGCGGAAGGGTCTGGAAGGAGCCAGTTGGCGGGTTTCCGTGAGGTGTTGGTCAGTTGCCTTCAGCGGGGCAGCCACTGAGGCGGACGAGCCCAGGCGCCAAGTACGGCGTGCGCGGCCAGCTAGGAGCCTGAAATGGGGAGGTCCATATCGGTCCAGGATCGTGGAACCCGGTCTGGTAACATTGCCAGGCCTGCAGAAGCCTCCGATTTGTATGCGACAGCGAAGGGACAAACAGAAAAAAAGGTCTTTGTCTCTTAGATATCATCCCATTACCATTGGCCATCCACATCGGCTTCTTCAAAGACACGGACATGCAACTAACGACATTAAGTGAAGGAGGGGTGATCCCCGGGACCCGCTTTCCCATCGGACCCGATGGAGTGGACCCCGGACCCTTAAAGTGCGTCGCGCTCTTCGCGTTTCTCGCAAATCAATGACGCAGTTGCTGCCCTTTTGTTGCATCTCCCCTGCAAAGCTTCTCAAGCTCCCATCCCCGAAACATGAACAGCCGTTTATCTCAACATCACCACAACAATGCCTCCCCACGTGCCGCGCAAGCGGTTGCGCGAGGAATCGCCAGTCAAGTCAAGCAGTAAGCGCCAGCAGGTGGCGAAAGGCAATGGCAAGCCCGCAGCCAACGGCACGCGAAAGCCGACTCTCTACGATGACCTGGATGCGACTGCTACACCCGAGTCGTCCAAGGGGGGTCGCTCCGTTCTGGATGTATTGAGCGACAGCGACGAGGACAGTTCGTTGACCGACTTATCCGACGGAGACTTTGAGGACGTCCCAGTGGGTGACAGACCGAAGGCGCAAGAGGCGGAGGAGGCATCCGACGATGGCGATAACGACGACATCGAGTTCGAGGACGTTCCTGCACCAAGGACCACTCTGGCGAAAGCCCCGACTACTGGTGGCGACCTGCAGCTCACTCTCGACGCTGGATTGGGTACGTCCATGACAGATCCTTACGGCGACAAGAAGGGGCCCACGAAGCGCGAGAAGAAGGTCAGGAACGTGACGCACTGCATCCATGTGCAGTATTTACTCTGGCACAATGCCGTCCGAAATTCTTGGCTCTGCGATCCCGAAGTTCAGGCGATTATGATGTCCCACGTTCCGCCCCGTCTCTGGGATGAAGTCGACAGGTGGAAGAGAGCTAGTGGACTGGACACAAAGCCGAAACCATCCCCGCCGAAGAAGCCGACGCCAGCAAAGAAGACGCGCGGAAAAGGCAAAGCCAAGAAGAGTGACAAGGAAGACTTGAGAGATTGGGGTTCTGCGGCGGAGAGACTGGAAGAGGGAGTTGCCGACATGAGCCACGGCGATCCTCTGTTCAGACTCATGAAGTCGTTGACGGCGTGGTGGAGGCAACGGTTCCACATCACGGCGCCGGGCATTCGCAAGTGGGGTTACATGCACCCTCAACGCCTCGGCAAACTCAGAAAGGCATGGGAAGAAGAGGAACACAATCAAGAACGCTTCGGAGAACGGATCCGCGACCTGGAAGAGTTTCGGAAGCGCGCCCAAGACTGCACAGGAAGTCGAGACGTGGGGTCCCAGCTATTCACAGCTCTTATGAGGGCTCTGGGACTGGAGGCTCGGATGGTCGCAAACTTGCAACCACTGGGATTTGGCTGGACGAAGTTGGAGGAAGCGGATCCTGAAAAGGACAAAAGCGGCGCGTCAACGTCAAAAAGCAGCGATGAGCACAGCGAAGGTATTGACAAAACGAAGAAAGGGCCCAAGACACCGGCGAAGAAGGGATTAAAGCCAACCCAGAAGATTTCGACATCCTCGCGAAGCAGCGCATCGAGGCGGACTAGCCAGAAGAAGACAGTAATCGAATTGGTCGACACAGACGATGAGCTTGGCCTAGAGCATCCAGACAGCGACGATGAATCGGTTATAGAGATGCAAGTTACACCACGGAAATCAGTGTCATCCAAGAAGTTTGACAGAGACTTGGAGTTCCCACATTACTGGACTGAGGTCATGTCACCGGTCACGAAGAAGTATCTGCCGGTTGATCCAATCGTCAAGAACGTTGTCGGTACTAACAGAGAGTTGATCGAATCGCTGGAGCCGCGAGGAGGCAAGGCAGATAAGTCAAAGGAGGTAATGGCATATGTTATCGGTTTCTCCCCTGACGGAACGGCGAAGGATATTACGGTACGCTATCTCAGAAAACAGCTATGGCCGGGAAGGACCAAGGGGACGAGGATGCCGCTCGAGAAAGTCCCTATTTACAACAAACATGGCAAGGTCAAGCGGTACGAACACTTCGACTGGTTCAAATCCGCCATGCATGGCTTCGTCAGGGGTAGTCGAAAACGTCCACTTACAGAGGAAGACGAGATCGAGAACTCCACTGAGTTGACACCAGCCCAGCCCGAGAAGAAAGAAGTCAAGGAGGGCAGTGAGACGCTGGCTTACTACAAGCAGTCGAAGGAGTTCTGCCTTGAAAGACACCTCAAGCGCGAGGAAGCGCTTCTGCCGACTGCAGTTCCAGTCAAGACATTCAAGAACAAAGGCAAAGGGGGAGAAATATCGGAGGAACCAGTCTACTCAAGGAAGGACGTTGTCAATGTCAAAAGTGCCGAAACATGGCATAAGCAAGGCAGGGCACCGAAGCCTGGCGAGCAGCCGCTTAAGAGAGTGCCGTATCGAGCTGCAACGACCAACAGGCGACGAGAACTCGCAGAGGCCGAAGCCCTTAGCGGCCAGAAAGTTCTTCAGGGACTGTACAGCTTTGAGCAGACGGATTGGATCATTCCACCGCCGATCAAGGATGGCATCATACCAAAGAACGGATACGGGTCAGTCACTTGTATATCTATTGAATCTCTTTTGTTGACTCTTTCTCAGCAATATCGATCTCTTCGCCGAACACATGTGTCCTGAGGGCGCTGTTCATGTGCCTTTCAGAGGGGCCGTGAAGGTCTGCAAGAGGCTTGGGATCGACTACGCAGAAGCTGTGGTGGACTTCGAATTTGGACATCGGATGGCAGTGCCCGTCATTCAGGGTGTGGTCATTGCGGAAGAATATCACGACCAGGTCATGGAGGAGATTCGCAAAGACGAGGTAGAGCGAGCACGAAAAGAGGACGAGAAACGACGCAAGGAGGCCCTGAGGCTTTGGAGCAAGTTTCTCAAGGGCCTACGAATTGTGGAGCGCATTCGTCAAGATTACGGCCATGTTGATGACAGCGTACCTGTGTTCCAGAAGAACAGTGCCTCGAAAGCCGCCAAAGAGAGGGAAGAAGAAGAAGAAGGGGAGTCGACAAAGCTGGATGCGGAGGCAATGCGGGTGCGCGATGAGGAAATGGCCGGTGGGTTCTTCCCCGAAGGACACGATGAGGAGGAGGCTGGAGGTTTCTTTCCTGAAGGGCACGATGAGGAAGATGCCGAGCCGAAGCGGTTTACGTCGGGTTTCTTCCCTGTGGTGGATGAGGATGATGAGGACGCGGAGATGGGCGACGCCCTGGTGGTCGATCACGGTGGTGATGAGACGCAAGTCGCGGATGGCACGGAAGTCGTGGCAGACGGCGCCGACGAACCTTCTCCAGAGCCAGAACCCCTCCCCGCGCCGGTCAAAGCCAAACCGCGGGCGAAGAAGGCGACGAAAGCTACGTCTAGGCGGTCAACGAGGCGGCGAAGAAAGCCTGTTTCCGAGAGCGAGGACGAGGACGAAGAAGACGATGGAGATGAGGATTTTGAGGACTCAGATGAGGATTACCGCTAATATATCCGTACTTTCTGGGTGGCGGACCAGGTGTGCGCTTGATGGATGCCTCACAAGTTGCTGGGGCCTAGGATTCTGCAGGCACGGGACGTCAGCTGGAAGTTATTGCGCCTTGGGGAAGTAAGACAGCAGTCTGTGTCACCATCAGATGTGTCATTCCTGTTTTGGTTGGCCAAGCATAGAGCGAGACGTATTTATTGCCATCACCAATTGAAGTTCGCCGTTCTCGACATTGCGCCGGATGCATTGGCCCAGGTCGAGAGGGGTCAGATTTACAACATCTTTCGTAGGGTGAGTTGAATCAGCTGATCATTTTAGAGACATCCATGAAAGTGACATTTCTCCGTCGTATATACTGTATATCGAGTACTTCATGTCATACCAATATCGGCCACAACTCACTTTATTGGGCAGATGTTCCCCCGGAATTTTGCGACATGTCGCCAAGATTGTTTCTCCAATTTTGAATTTTCTTCAGCAATCTCCCGCTGTTTGTGCATGCAAACGACAGGACGGGTAGTACCGTAAAATGTTTAGCAAACACATCATGAATGGAGGTCAAAAGCACCGGACTGCCGTTCTCCAATGCGAGCCTCTCCGCACCGCACCCCTGGGGCACTCCCTGCAGAATGCACGCTAGGGCGTCCAGGGTGTGGTCCAGGGCGCCCAAGTTCCCGGCCTGGGGAGGCCATTTGCGACGATCCACTGAGCCCGAAGGCCTGGCCAGTCCCTTTTTTTTTTTTTTTTTTTTTTCCTTTTCTCACCCCCTTCGCCGACATCACCTCATGGTTCCCGCGATCCGGATGCGCATCATGGTCGTTGCGCATCTGCGAAAAACAAAACAAGAGGCGACCGACTGAAAGTTGCCTGATTCCGCCGGGCGCCGCCGCCTGCGACTGACTGCGCCTCGGTTCCATATCGAGCGAGGCACCGAAGCGCAACAACGAACGAGGAGTGAGGCGATTGTCAGGGAGGGCCTGAAAGGAGGCTCTCCACTGGTGAAGAGCAAAGCCGAGCCGTGAGCTTTTTGAAGATTAGCACCGCATATTTTGGAATCCTACCTTGACCTACCTATCTGGCGACTTCACAAGGCACAGGGCGCTCTTTCTACCTCGGGTGCTCTTTGTCTTTGCTTCTGTTGTTGTCTTCGTCGCCTTGATCTGTCTTGAGTGTTGGGTCTCCTCGTCGTCGTCCGTTTGGGTTCCTTTCGTTACCTCATATATCAACAACGTCTCTGGGAATCGACCATCTTGACTGCCTTTTTCGTCGACGCAGGCGAGAACAACCAGTACCGCGGGGCTATCACACCACAACTCATTTTCTCGAGCGATTTATATCCTCTTCACAAGTTTATTCCTCTGAAGCCCCCGGTCTCTCAACCGGCATCCGCTCGCTTCGGACTTCCTGCCTACATTTACCCTACCTACGGTATAAACGCCAGCAATCGACTGCGAACTGGTCGACTCGAGTATCTTGCGCCGTTTGGCGATCACCGGTCAGTACAAGTGCAGTGTATGTCGGGCTTCTCCTTTTGTCGGCAGTCGTGGTGTTAGTTCCACCTTCCATGGCGGGTCTGCCTGAACCTTCCATCACATTCACCTGTCCTCAAATGTGCGGCTCGATGGCGTTCGCGTATTGCCCGCCACCTTCCCATCAAGCTGCAGTGAAGAGTCCCGTCGTGACCCAACAGGGTGCAGTCCAGTCCTAAAACCAGACTCCGGGCACCCGGCACTCTCCCGGCTTGCGGCTTTTTTAAATCTTCCATCTCCATACCTCGCGGAATCAGACAAGAGCTAATTAGCGGCAGAAGAAGCGACGAACACACGCAGAACATGACCATCCGCCACGAGATCGCCTCCGTCACCTTTCGCCATTCTCTAATTTGTACCACTTCTGTCTGAAGTCTCGTCTCTACTCCTTCCGCACGACAGGCAGGTGGGAAGGACCACTCGCTACCTTCCAATCACGGTCTTGTGCGAAGTTTTCTGTATTCGAGCTTCGCCTCATCTTCTACGCCATCCCGATGGACGACGACCTAGACGCAGGGATCAGAAGCGCCTGCACGGCCATCCTTCTGGATCTCTTTCCCGACATCTGCCCCAGCCATCTCGAGAAGACGGCCGAAAAGTTCCAGTACGATACTGATCGGGTCATTGAGGAGATCCTTGGCTCCAAATCGTATCCCAAGATATCTCGCGTCAAAAGTCTGAAACGCAAGCGAGAGGCTTCTCAAGATGGGGATGAGATGTCCAAGCTGCGACGCAAATACGACCATGCGGACCGTCCCGAGGAAACCGCTGCGCTTTACATCAAGGTCTCGTACGTATTTTACTGCCCTACTTCCATGTCACCACCGCCATTGTCATCGTCGTTGCCATCCGGTCTTTGAGTGCGTCTCGAGAATACTCCAAGATTAACAGTCAATATAGGAAGAAGGTGCTTGCCCAAGATTTCCCGCGAGCGACTTCGAAGAATATCGCCGTGCTTTTCCAGGAGAATAAGAACCTCCTGTTTCGCACGTACCTTGCCCTCGACGAGATCAACCGTGGCTGGCAAGATGGCAAAGTAGTAAAGCCGGGGTTTGAGATGAAAAAGACGAGAACGGCACCTGACATGGACTTGACACCCGCAAAATTGGGCCAAACCATCGAGAATTCAACTATTCCCGATAGAACAAGGGCGCTTGAGGAGCTGCGCGATGTTCGACAGCTATGTTACGCGGAAACGGCCAAGCGCATTGCCGTCTACGACAAGGAGCGAGCTGAAGCCAGGAATCTCCGGGAAGCGGAAGAGGAGGGCACTACCCAGGAATGCGGTTGCTGCTGGGGCACGTTCGCCCTGAACCGCATGGTTTCCTGTTCGAAATCGGACCAAGAGCACGCAAGTTTCCACGTTCCTTCTCAGAGAGTCAACTAGCTAACGTCCTGCAGTGGTTCTGTGTCGAGTGTGCGCGACGCAGCGCGGAACATGCTATTGGGCTCACGAAATTCGAACTCAAGTGCATGTCGATGGACGGATGTAGTGCTGGGTTCTCGCATTCGCAGCGTGCAATCTTCCTCGACGACAAGCTGATCGCCGCTCTGGATCGCATCGAGTGTGAAGCCGTCCTCATAGCGGCTGGCTTCGAAAACCTCGAAACTTGCCCTTTCTGCCCATACGCCGCCGAGTATCCCTCCGTCGCAATCAACAAGGAATTCAGCTGCGCCAACAAGGACTGTCAGGTAGTCAGCTGCAGACTTTGTAGGGAAGAAACGCACATCCCCCAGACTTGCGAGGAAGCAGCACGCGCAAACGGGTTGTCGGCTCGTCGCGAGATCGAAGAAGCCATGTCAGCTGCGTTGATTCGCAAATGCAACAAGTGTAAGTTTGTTTAGAAGGAATCCAACAACTGCTTAGCTGACAAACACAGGTGCCACCCCCTTTATCAAGGAAGAGGGTTGCAACAAGATGACTTGCACAAGGCCGGGCTGTCGCAATGTGCAGTGTTACATATGCTCCAAGTCATGCGACTATACCCATTTCAACGATCGTACGCGAGGAGGAAAAGAGGGAAACTGTCCTTTGTTCGAACCTATTCAGGAACGACACGATAAAGAGGTACAGGAAGCCGAGACGCGGACCCGACAGAAGGTCATGGAGAATAATCCCGACTTGGACGAAGACCTCCTCAAATTCAACTTGTCCGAAGAGGCCTCCAAGACCCAGAAGGAGGAAAAAGACAAACTGAAACGGAGACAGAAGGAGCAGATTCGAGCGAGGGCCCAGCAGAGAGCGGCATTGTACCAGGAGCGGATACATAACGCGCAGCCGAGACCTCCTATGCTTCAAGCCAGGCCTCCTCCGCCTCCTCCTGTTAGGCCTCCTCCACCTCCTCCTGCGCTACATCCGAATCTGTTTGGGGGTGTTCTCGGAGCCGAGGACCTCTACTTCCCGCCACAGGATCACCGCGTCGGTTCCGTACCTTCGCTACACGCGACATTTGCGCCGCAAATGTTTGCGGACGCTGGATGGTTCCCAAATATCCTCCAGCAGGCACAAGGGCAGGAAAATCACGGCGATGCCAATCTGATGGGGCCATGGCATTCCCCATCAATGTACCCTTTCAATCTATCAGCAGATCCAAACTGGCAGGTAGGCCGTCCCATGGCTGGACCGTCTCACCAAGGGCAGCATGTGGTTGCAAGTGCGAGTGGCCCCGCGGTCGACCTCCAGAACTTCATTCCCCAGGCTCAGAAAAACATGGACAGACCAATTCTGGGACTTGACGGATCCAACGGTGGATTTGCGACTGCACAAAAGAACAGGAACCAAGCTCCACAGCCAGTCCAGCGGAAAACGCAGGGTGCTTCTTCCAGTCACCCGAAGCGACCGGCACAACAGCCGACTGGTGAGGCTCATCGTCAAGACTCAATGCCGCCCATGTCGGCGGTGATGGGCCTCCAAGGCCGACGGGTTCACGCAAACGGAGAGATTTTCAAGTCTGGAAGGAGTATGGACGACCCTCTGGAGCTGGACTGACTTTGGCCGATTCTTATTTCGACACTCGGATGGGCTCTTTTCAGGATGGATCTCGGGGAACAAGGCTTTTCTGAAGGGGATCAGCGCGGCGTTCAGGCGGTATTTTGTCTTTCGGCCGGACGCAAAACGTATCGGAGCAGTATCGGGTGTTCTCATTACAGCTTATTCCCACAATTAATGCGTTAATAGTAAAAGAAGCAGACTCCTTCACACCCATTCAGTGTTTGGCGTCGTGAAACCCCCTCAGAACGTCGAAAACAGCAGCCGCGACGACGACGACGGCGATGAAGATAATAACGATGATAGTAACGCCGCAGGGTATCAATTTGCTCCAAGGACAAGCGGCCTTAAAGAACATGATAGAGGGAAAACAAGTTGATGGACTACCGCCCCCGCCCGAACTTCTCATGCCACTTGCCCTTGCTGCCAGTATTCTTGAGGTTGGAAATGGTCTGGGGTTCCGTCTGAGCGACAAGCTCCGTGGTCTCGTGGATGGTAGCAATCGCGCCGAGACCCTGGGTGGGCATTTCCGAGGCGGATGGTGCTGAGGAATGTGGAGTGAGGAGAATCAAGGAGTTTGAAGTGTTCTTCTGCAGGAGCTTGTAAGTCTTGTCGGGCGTCTTGAGCAGCGCCGAGGCAGGGGTTGAGGTGAGTGTGATGCTGAGCCGAGTTAGCGGGCGTCCGTCAAAACACCAACCAGGAACGGAGGGAGACGTCGTGGTGAGGCTCGGGAGTGACGTCGAGGGTGTCCAATGCGACTTACGCCGGGGCATCTTCGGCAGTGAGCAGGGCCTCGAGCTCGGGGGGCAGCTCCATGAGCTTGTAGCCGCGGCCGTCCGGGGCATGGGTCAAGGGAATGGCGGCGTCCTGGCTGGACATTTTTCTTTCTTTTTTTACAGTCCGGTGGTTTTTCGTTCGGGCTGGCTTGACCGCCGGTGTACACGTGTTGGTTCGAGTCCACAGAGTTCAGTTCTTCATGGGTGAGAGATTCACACGTGTGCGGCAGTGGGTTGAAGTTGAATCGGACGTCGTCTAATTGGGTGCGGGGATTGTTGGGTGACGAGACAGGGAAGGCGCTGAAGAGACGGAGGGAGGAGGGGTTCGATAGTGGCCTGTGCCTGTGTGTCCCGTCATTTGCCCAAATTCGAATTTGCTGATTTCTGCCCTTTTTTTCCCCTCTGAAGTTGACAGGGATTCGTCCGACTTGGTGGAGCTAGTGGGAAATGATTGGACGCATTGGCCATCCGAGCTTTTTTTAGGGCCGAGTTCCCTGTTTAAGGCTGCGGGTGTTGCTGGTTGGATTTGGGAGGGACCCCACCTTACATAAGGCAGCTGGCGTGTTTACTGTCCGTGAGTGGTCACCGTGGTGTGTTGACTTTCGGGTATCGGTGAGGTGTGGATCCCCGTCATGTCAGTCCCGTCAGGTGCAGTCTCAGTGGTTGAAATTCGATGCTCCCGCTCAACTCACTCACAACTGGCTTCACCACCTCAGTTATCCATATCAGTTGGACAAGGGAGGGAGGCACTTTACGCGTAGAAATCGATTGGCCTGGACCTGTCTTTTTTTTTCTGATGCTGGCGTTGCTTCTGCAGCTGCACATCTATCTGCACCTCGTCGGCACCAACACCACTCAGAGCAGCAGTTGATGAAAATTCTCTCTACTAGCCGGCGGCATAGCACAGCAGCCCCAGTCAATAGTTCTGTTCATCCCGCACTCATTTTCTCTAGTTTTTTCGGGATTTATTAAAATTGTCGTGTGTTTGTTGTCTCTCATCTCAAGCGAAACGAAACTTGGGAAACAGTGAGATAGAGAGAGGACCCAGACCGCAGTCGAATGAGGCGTTCGTCGTTTCGCTTAATTCATCCCAGCCTCTCCCTCTCCTCCCCCTTGTCGTTGGCGCCTTGTTTGTCGTCATTCTTCTCCCACTTGTCCATCACTTGTCGCTTTGTTCATCTCGCATTTTGCATGGAGTGTCGGTGAAGAAGTGGTTGAAAAACAGAGGCCTGATTTCTGGTTTCACTGCATTCGCATCTCAGCCAACAAAGACGTCAACAAAACAAAGACGTGACAGGACAGGGTTTGCCTGTCTCTGTGGTACCTTGCACTGAGGACCCTTCACTTTAAACATTGCATTGGGCTTGGACTTTGCAGTAGCAACGGCTGCAGCTCAATCTCACCTCACTCACCGGCCTCAATAAACAAACAACAACACGACCGCCCCACGCACCAACCACCTCCAATCCACGTCCCACTACCACCGAAACACCTCCAGCTCCAGCTCCAGACTGAGAGGCGGCCGATTATCGCTACGGATACGCTACCCTCTGCCACTATCGATTCGATCGCCCAGAGGATCCTCCACCACCACCTCCTCCCTCCGCCCGCCACGGACTGCGACTGTGACTGCGACTGCGACTCGACTCGACTCGAATTCGATCCCGGCCGAGCTCAACGCCAGCCAACTCACACCGACACAACACCACGTCGCTGGCTTGCTTGCAGCTTCGTCTTCTCGTCGAACTTCTCCGCGCTAGCCAAACTGGCACTCGTCGTACTTTCACCACGCTCTTTTTGTCGCTAATTATTATTTTTTACCCTCTCTACGATTTGCTACTTTCTCGTCCCGTTCGTCGCATCGCGATCGGCTGCTGCTGTTGCTATTGCTGTTGGCCCCGTTGTTGCGACGCATTTCGACCGCCAACCGCCTCCAAGGACTTGCGCCTGTCGCGATCGACAATTCTACGCATACAGTCACACTCGTTTACCCTCTTTGCTCCCTCTCCCTTTTGTGCGATTTGTACGCCAGCCAGTCAGCAATGACCCTGGCCCATTGACGAGACCACGCGACCGACCGACCGATCGACCGAATAACCGACCGCATCGCCCTCGTCTTCGCCAGCTCACCGACAATGGTTCGTGTTACGGAAGAGCTGGCTCTGTCCGCCGAGCACCTCACCCTCTACCACGCCGCCGACCCCCTCCTCGGCCACCTGCCGGTGCTCATCTTCCACGGCTCCTCCACCACCGCAAACTACACCCTCAACAGCTCCCGCGTACAGATCCACGTCTACAGCCCCGCCGGCTTCCAGTCGTTCCCGCGCCTAACCATCCAGCCCAACTCCCCTTTCTACGCCGTCGTCAACCACCTGCCCCGCGAATGGCAGGGCGACGAGATCTACCGAGGCCTTGCCTTCGGTCTCTACAAATACTTCCAGGAGCTGCCCGAGGTCGTCAAGAACCACCTCAAGAACACGTACCCGACCACGAGGGGTCGCCGTCCGGGAAGCGGGCCCGCCCTGTTCGGGGAGCAACATGCCGCCGACCTCGCCAAGAACATGATCAAGAGCGAGAACACTCCAGAGGTCATTGAGACACTGCGGACCGCGCTCCAGACACAACACCTGAGCAATGTCGACGTCGATTTTGTCCTGCCGCCCGGCTCGATCGTACCGCTACAGCCTGAAGACTTGGAGGAGGTGCCCGAGGACGAGGATGATATTCTGGACCCGACCCTGCGCCAGTACGGAGGATACACCTCATTAGTGAAGCTGCTGGGAGACCCCGTGTTTCTGCCGACCTCGAGGTTAAAGAGGGCACCGTCGAAGCCGACCTCGCTGAATCGCAGCAAGTCTTTCTCCAAGGACCAGAAGGTGGAGCTGAGAATGAAGCTCGGGGAGCTGGTTGATACCGAAGAGAGATATGTGTTGAAGCTGAATGAGCTGGTCAAGCATATCGCCGACGAGTTCAGGCAATCGGCGAAGCAGCGCGACACCAGCAGCCTGAGTCCATCCGAAGAGGAACTCGAGAAGCTATTCCCAGTCGCAGCAGACAAGATCCTGCAGATCAACTCCGCCTTCATGCAAGAGCTGCGCGCAATCATGGACGACACAGAAGATGAGGCGCTGAGGGACATGGAGACAACGACAGTCGCACTGACGGGATCGAGGCTGGGATCTCCAGGAAAGGCAAAAGACCCCAGCGGCGCGCTGGCTTTTGCGAGGATATTTCTTGAGTGGTTCCCTCAGTTCACCGACTGCTATCAGGACTACATCCGGGCAAGCCAGCATTTCCCCGCTCTTCTCAACTCGTTCCTTGATGAACAGTCGAGCTTCAGGCAACGGGTCATCCAGAAGGGTGAGCAGACTGTCCGCTCCATTCTTATCGAGCCTGTACAGCGCCTCCCGCGGTACAGCCTGCTCATCGACCAAATCGTCCAGTGTCTTCCCATGACGCACCCTGCGCTGCAACCGATGCTCAAAGCGCGTGACATCATCACCAACATCTGCTCAATGGATGAGCCAGTCCCCGAGAAACCCCATGTGACGGGTCGCCTGCGAAACTTGGTTGAGAGTTGGCCTCTCGATCTGGAGCCCCAAGGCAGGTTGGTTCTTGCGGCTGACTTCGTGGAGTTACCTGCTCCTTACCGGCCACTCGACCCGCCACAAATGTCAGAACGCGCCGGCATCTTCCTTCTATTCTCAGACTGCCTTGTCATCCTGAAGAAGCTGGGACCGAAGCCGATGAACGGACGCGACCTCCTGCGCGAAATCGATAAGCCTTCAGCAGCTGGGCTTCTCATGTCCATGACCAACGCCGCAGGAGGCCAGGCGTCCTATGAACTTGCTTTTACTGGGTGGCACAACCTGGCAGATGTGCGATTCACCGAGTCGGCAGACAGCACCTTGGTTTGGATGACTTCAACCCAGGAAATGAAGGGAGCACATGCTGGCGAGTGGGTCACAGGCACGGCCGTCACTTCGAGGTGCTTCGTGCTAGAGGAGACCTTTGAAGCCAAGGCATCAAAATGGACAGAGGATATCGTCAAGGCCCGTGTTGAAGGCAGATTCTCCGAGAAGGAGCGCGAAGATCCTTGCTGGTCTCTTCGTTCTGTCAGAATGCCGGACAACAACCTTGGATTCTTCGCTGCTGTATTCCAGGAGGGCGCCGATCAGTTGATTGAGGGCCGAAGAGAGCCCGCACCGATTCGCATCGTGATCGACCACGACAAGGGTACCAAGGGGGCACCTATCGGTCATTACGGTGTGGAGATCACGGTCAACGTTAGAAGTGGCGATATGAAGCGGGTGAATATGCAGACTGCCGGTCTGAATGGCAGGCAGTTTGCAGACGACGTGGCATTGGATGACTTTTTGCCCACGCTCACTCGACGAAGTAAGTAATGGCACTTACTCCTTACATGAATAATCTGCTAACCTAGTTTCAGTTATTCAACTGCTCAGTTTGCAGTTCAACGCCTCAAACCTTCGACTGGCGCCTGCACTCGTCTCCTACTATACCAAGATCTTGAAGGGCCTGCCTCTCATGACCAGAGCAGAGAAGACGAGGTCTTTCCTTGCCTCGTCACCCGTTAAGGGGCTCTTCTCCAGCATTTGGGGAGGCTCGACCAACACTGAGGCGCACAGCCCACCCAAGCATACCCGTACACCTATTACCAACGTCTTCCCTCCGCCTGTATCGCGGGCAAACAGCGAACAAGGCTCTATTTTCGGCTCTGCAAGGGGCAAAGAAGGCATCAAGATGAGCGGCGACGACCGGCCTGAGAATCCCCTCGTGCGGCTGGAACAGACATTTACGGGATACGTTGCCAGCCTGCAGTCTCGTAAGGGAAGCATTGTCGGACGGATGCTGCTGAACCGCTCAGTGGCAGATGAGCTCTCGGTCAACGATCTCTACAACCGCCTCATCGAGAGCCCTTTTGACCTGGACGCCTCGTCCGAGCTGGGCGCCGATGTCATTTTCGTGGCTTTTGAAAAGTTCATCCGCATCGCATGGTGCGAGCAGATGGGCCCCATCATGACGAAGCAAGCGCTCGACACGTTGCTGGAGCGGATGAACCGCCAGGTGCCAGGCAACTTTGCCGACTTTGTCAACTTCATGTTCAAGGAGATGGCGCCGCAGAACCAAAGGGCTTTCACGGCTCTCATCAAACTTCTGGCTGACTTGCTCGATGGCTGCGGTAACGACGGAGACAGAGGCATTCTGACAGTATCATTTGCGGAGCTTCTGGTCCATGATGGCACCGCACAAAATTACATCAACCTCCTGGATCGCCTTGTTGAAGACTGCGATAGGATCTTCGATGACCCCAGCAGCATCCACTTGACCGTTCAGCAAGCATTTGAGTCCATGAATTCTCGGAGTGGTGGGAAGTCACACACGGGCTCGCTCACGTCAAACACATCCTCCATTCGCCGCAAGTTTGGTTTCGATTCTTTGCTGCGTCAGAACAGCAAGAACGACTCGGAACGGCCATCTGTCTGGCGCACCCTCAGCAAACATAGCCGTCATCCTGCGTCCGCGGACGCTTCCTCGAGTTCAAGTCTGTCCAAAATGACGTCCGGACGCGCAAGATCTATCGACTCAGGCACAGGCACACAGCCTGGGCCTAACAAGTTAAGGCGGCCTGGTTCCCGCGATAGGCCACCGTTGGCTGGTGCATTCGATGAGGCTCCCAGGCCAACCAGCTCGCAGCGACTCGACATGCGCCTGGAGACCATTGGCGAGCCTGAGATTGAGCAAATTCCGGTCAAGTCTTCCAAGAAGAAACGGCGCAGCTCGCTTTCTGATCTGAGGAGCCTGATGTCTGCGGCCACGATTGACGACCCGCAGGAGAAGATCGAGGAAGCGTTGATGCCTCTGCGCATCAACAAGCAGACTTCGGAAAAGTTCAACTCGACACCAAGGATACCATCCCCTTCTAGGATACCGATAAGCCCGACGTCCCAAAGTCTACGGTCTCCTCGAATGGTCTCGCCACGTCTGAAGGAGAACCCCGCGTCACCAGATCCACTACAGATCCTCCACACTCCGCACACCCCTGGACCTCTCGATCGGGAGAACACGCCCAAGGTTACACCAAAGGGACACGGCAGAGGCCTATCCACGTCGAACATTCCCACGCTGAGGCCTACGCGTCCGGTTGGTAGCCACTCGACCGATTCCATCCCACGACCTTCTACAAGTCCTGGCAAGCCCCCGGGCAGCGGCAAGCTTCGCCTTCAGTCGCCCCAGAAGCTGCGAGAGCGGTTGCAGACGGAGAAGAAGGCGGTCGAGGACGTCGATGCATCACTCAAGTCGGAACTGTCAAAGATTGCCGAGGAGATGTCGCGGGTCAACTCGGGTCTCGGCTCGCGGACCAACACTTTGGACTTGCGCAAGCTGACCGACTCGGTCAAGACGCTCGAGGAGCGAATCCCGAACATGATGTCGGAGCTCACGGAACGGCAGACCTCCATCCAGCGCGACATGGAAAGCACGCTCAAGGCTTCGGAGACCAAGGTCAAGAGCATCGATCAGCTGTACAGAGAGTCGACGGCAGAAAATGAGCTCATGTACGAGAAGTTCAACAGCGAGCTGGGCAAGATCGTCAAGGCGCTCAAGGGCAAGGGCCGCGAGGACAAGGAAGACCTCCTCCGAAGCTTACGAGAGCACAGCGAGGAGACGGCACGGGTCAAGAAAGAGAACGCGCGATTGAAGCGGGAGATTGTCAGCCTTCGGACACTGATGAAAGGCGCGGATGCCTAGGGCGAATGAGACAAAAAAACGGTGTGGGAAGGGATCCAGCCCGAGCAGTTGGCAAGATGTGTCGGAACGGCTCTTGTGGCGTTTTTTTTTCGGGGAATTTTGCTTTGCGAGCGACTACAGGGTTTGGGGGAGGTGTACTACTACTTTTCAACTACCACCGCGGTCTGATTTTGTTGTTTTTTTGTGTCTCATTCTCGCACGACCTGGCTCCAGATTTGGGCCGGGAGAAGGATTGAAGACTGGACTTTGGTCGGAGCCTGAGCAGGCAGGTGGGCAGTTAGCAGGCCGACATGGACCGGATCGGAATTGCATAGGTTGGCTTTGGCTCCGTTGGATGGACGGAATGTGGGTGGATGGAGAGGAGTGCGTGTGTTGGATGCTGGTGGAAAGCATGTTAAATGTGTACATGGTGGATGAATCGAGATATGAACTGAAGTCGTTACTGTGTTGATGTGATTGTCTTCTGGATCCCGTGATGAGTTCAAGTGGAGTTCGTGGCTTACGGCTGGTGTATTAATGGCAAGACGGTGAGCACCTAGAGTCTAGAGAGGATGCCTCGATAATAAATAACACATGCTCTGGAGACGATTCAGAGGTCTTTGATGTGCACACACCGCTCGAACGCGATGGACGACCCCGCGCTACCCTTATGAAGAAAGGGAAGGTTTGCTGCTACCGCGATGCGGCCCGTGCCCGTGTTTTTGGCGTAAATGGTGCCTGAACCGTTCCCCCCAATCCGCCGGGTGCTTGGTGCTGAGGGACCTAAGGTCCCTAGGTAGGGAGGTGCCAGGCGGTAAAGAGGTCCGAAAGGTACGTACCAGTGAAAGTTACTCCAAGTGCCTGCCACCTGAAAAATTGCCGACCGACCCCTCCTCCTGCTCCCCTCCTTGTCTGGTTTTCCAAGGTTGTTTCTGCGGCGGGTTGGTGGATGCCGCTCTCAGTCCACGTCCAGTGTAAACAAGTCACCAGTAGGAAACAAGCCAGCTAACCTGGAAGTCACTGGCCTGTAAGAGAACGGGCTGTGGCTGCCCTGCCCGTGGCACCCGACTTTTTGGCGGCTCCACTCGCGCGTCTAAACGGTAAACCACCCCGCCAAAAAAGAGACAGACAACGAGAAACATCACCAGAGAACCACTACGCACAACGCACACAACATACACGACGCACACGCACATATTCCTCCAGAGAGCCCACCTCCCACCTCATCGCCCTTCTTCTAGCCTGCGTGCGTCACTCTGAGTCAGCCACGCCCGTTGTAATTGTGCCCGGACGTCTTCCCGCGCCTTACCTTCCTTCTGCATCAAAACAGAAGTGAGGGCCTTCCCACCGGTCTTGTGCTCTCTGTTTTCTTTCTCTCTGCGGCATATCAACACACCGAGCGGCGTACACCGGGACACCGAACAACCGGGACGCATACGAACTCGGATCGACCCAGTAACCCGCGAACCACTCGAGAGACGAACACCAAACTTTGCTTCTGCGTGTGTCCGGTAAACCCAGCCCATCATGGAGGACCAGCTGGTTTCCCTGCTGGCCAACACCCAGAGCTCCGAACAGGGCCCCCGCCAGCAGGCCGAGATCGAGCTCAAGCACGCGCGCGCGAACCCGGCCTTCCCTACCTCCCTGGCCAACATCGCCAACCATACCTCCATCGACACCGGTATTCGCCAGGCCGCCCTGAGCGCGCTCCGCCTTTTCATCGAGAGGAACTGGAGCCCCGAGGACAGGGACGCCGCCGAGCCTCCTGTAGAGATCTCCGACGCCGCGCGCGACCAGCTGCGCAACACCCTGCTCGAGATTGCGCTGAGCAACGAGGACAAGAGACTGGTCAAGATTGCGGCAAGGTATGGTGGTTGCGGTATCTACAAGAGTCAATCCCTCCGTGCCGCGGTGTCGTCGACATGACGAAGCCGCACGCGCGCACAACGAATACCATTGAGACGGGTCACTGACATTGTCCACCTTCTAGCTATGCTATTGGCAAGATCGCGTCAGCCGACTTCCCCGAACGATGGCCTCAACTCCTCCCCACCGTCCTGGGCGTCATCCCCACGAGCACCGATACCCAGCTTCACGGCGCCCTGCGCGTCCTCGGCGACATCATCGACGAGAGCCTCAGCGAGGACCAATTCTTCACCATGGCCCGTGACATTGTCAAGGCCGTGACCGAGGTCGCTCTGAACGAGGGTCGCAAACCCAACCTCCGCGCCCTCGCCATCTCCGTCTTCCGCTCCTGCTTCGACCTCATGGATATTGTCAAGGAGGATCACATGAAGGAGGTCAAGGCCTTCGCCGAGGACGCCCTGAAGGACTGGTACCCCTTCTTCGCCCAGGTTCTCAAGACCCGTCTGCCCGACGCCCCGAACGAGCTCGCCAGCGGCCAGCCCGAGAGCTGGAACCACATTATCGCCATGAAGTTGCAAGTCGTCAAGACCCTACTCAAGGTCAAGTCCGTCTTTCCCAACCTGCTGCTGCCGCACAGCACCAGCCTCTTCACTGCCGTCTGGGAGGAGCTCTCTTTGCTCCAGAAGCCTCACGAGGACCTCTACATAGGACACGAGGCCCAGGGCCGGCTCGAGGACTCTGACAGCCTGCCTTACACCCTGGATTTCTTGATCTTGGAGGAGCTCGACTTTTTGAACCAATGCTTCCGTGCTCCCCCTGTCCAGGCAGAGCTCGAGGCTCAGCTGGCCGCCCACGCGTCGGCTCAGGAGACACCTTGGATGGTCGAGGTTATGAAGATGGTTGTTGGGTACTCTCGCATCAGCCGCGAGGAGGAAGAGCTGTGGGACATCGACTGCTCTCTGTACCTGGCTGAAGAGACCTCCGTAACGGCCAACTACACCGCCCGCACCGCTTCCGGCGACTTGCTCATTAAGCTTGGAGAATGGTATAGCGAGAAGGCCGTCGACGGTCTCTTCGGCTACACCAAGACCCTCTTCCCCGGCGACGGTTCCTCGTGGAGAAGTCAGGAGGCCTCTCTCTACCTGTTTAACATGCTCCTGAGCGACTTCCAGGATATGGAGAAGCCCATCCCTGAAGCCGTTTCCTCGGCCTACCTCGGCCTTGTTGACTTCGCTGTCAACCAATCCGAGCAGCCTCTCCTGAGAGCTCGTGGATACCTTGTCGGAGGCACCCTTGCCAGAGGCTTCGCGACGCCCCCCGCCCTCCTCGACCGCATCATTCAGTGCATCACTTCCGAGGAGTCCGAGGTTGTCCAGGTGGCCTGCATCAAGGCTGTTGAGGGCTTCGTTCGCTCTGGCCGAGTGACCGCCGACCGCCAGGTCCCCATCATCAACGCCATTGCTCAGTACATGCAGAACAAGGACCCCGAGGAGATGGAGGACGCTGATGAGCTTCTCGTCACTCTTGCCGAGTCTCTGCGCTCCGCGATCAACATCGACACCAGAATCGCCCTGTCCCAGGACGTCCCATCCGTCGACCTCCTTTTCATGGTTGCCAAGCTTGGCGCCTCCAACTTCCAGGCTACCATGCTCATCTGCGAAGCTTTCGAGGAGATTGTTCGCGCACTCTCCGACACCGCCTCTTACACTGCGCTGTGTGCCAAGATTCTTCCTACTTTGACCGCGGCTTTTAACACTGCCAACGTTACTCAGGATGACCCTCTTGTCACGGTTGCCACCGAACTCCTTACCGCCCTGGTCGAGCACGGCTCTGAGCCCCTCCCCCCCGGATTTGTTGCAGCAACTCTCCCCAAGCTGAACCGTCTCCTCATGGAGTCTAACGAGGGAGAGGTCCTTCGCCCCGGTGCCGAGTCCGTCAAGTACCTCCTTATGCACGACCACCACCAGGTCTTTGGCTGGCACGACGAGAGCGGCCGCTCCGGCCTGGAGGTCTGCCTTCACATCATCGACCGTCTTCTAGGTCCCTCCATCGAGGACAACTCTGCTTCCGAGGTCGGTGGACTCGCGGCAGAGCTCGTCGAGAAGGCCGGCCAGGAGCGTTTGGGCCCTTTCCTGCCTCAGCTCCTCCAGGCCGTCGCTACAAGACTGGCTTCCGCCGAGGCCGCTCCTTTCATCCAATCTTTGATTCTTGTCTTTGCGCGCCTGTCTCTTGTTGGCGCCCACGATGTCGTTGAGTTCCTCAGCCAAATCCAGATCCACGGAAACACCGGTCTCCAAGTCGTGCTGAGCAAATGGCTTGAGAACTCCGTGAGCTTTGCCGGATACGATGAGATTCGTCAGAAGTAAGTCAACCAATCGTCGTCTTCGGGCTGTTCATAACTAACTTCTGCAGCGTCATCGCTCTCTCCAAGCTCTACTCCTTGAACGACCCGCGTCTTGCCCAGACAATGGTGAAGGGTGACCTTGTCATGAACAACAACAATGACGGTAGAATCATGACGCGCTCACGCGCCAAGGCCAGTGAGTACTACGCATCACACCCGCCATTATCAGATACTGACTCTCAAGACCCCGATCAATACACCGTTATTCCCGCCTCCCTCAAGATTCTCAAGGTTCTCATCGAAGAGCTCCTCTCCGCATCAGGTGCCAACGCAGCTGCCAACGCCGCAGCGGTCGCCGCGGCCGCCGAGTTCGCTGATGAGGAGAACGACGACGACGGCTGGGAGGACGAGCCCGAGACCCTCGACCTTAGCTTGGGCGGTGTAAGGGAGGACCTCATGTCCTTCATCGAGGGTTCTGGTGCCCGCCAGCGCGACGACGAGACTCAGGCATATCTGACCGAGTTCTTCCTCCGTGCGGCACGCGAGAACGTGGCCAACTTCCAGGAGTGGTACGGCATGCTCACCGAAGAAGAGCGCGGAAAGCTCAACGAGCTAGCCAATGCTGCGGGCCAGTAGGAAGGCGCCGCGGCGGGTCAAGGTGATGAAGAGGCGTCGGGAGAATCGACGAATCCGACTCAGCCGCAATTGCCGGTAAATTCTGCGAGGATGCGGAATCTGAGAAAGCAGTATTATTTTTGATGCTTCAGCAGCACATTTTGGATGCGCTAGAAATCAGGCGCTCATTCTCTCAACACTCAGCATTGAGGTTAGTGGTGAGAGCTTGCATTGAAAGGGGTATGTATATGGCGACGTCTTCTCACGCGGCTCGTAGCCGTCAGAGGACGTCAGGGTATGACAAAAGGGGCGACGAGGAGGAGAAGGAAGAGGAAGGACACGACTTGTAGATAGAACTCCTTAGAAGAACAACAGGCAGTCGGTGCGCGTACAGGGGGGTACGGTACGGGCTTGCGAACGAATGATGGCTCAACTGGTGCTCATGAGGCGTCGATAATGTTAGATAAACCTTTTTTTATTGCGAATGAGAATACGCTCACGCTTGAACATTCAGGCCGGTCGCTGCTGTTAGTGGGTTGCCGTCTCAGTTCAAGAGATGTAGTATAAATGAGATTTCGCGTTGAAGACGCCTACTTCAAGTTCGGGGGCAACAATAAAGATTTGGGTTACCGTCATGGTTCATTCCATGGGTATTCTCGCTGAGGCGTGGTCACAGGTTCTATGAGACGCGAGGTCATGGGCAGGTGCGAGGGACGAATCAGCCCCGTTCGGCATCGTTGTTGTTGCTCTTGGGTTATTCACCATATGAAAATTGCCTCGTACATCTGGGGGAACCCGATGTACATTCGGCAGCTAGAGAGAGTTCGGCTGGAAGACACGAGGCATGGCGGGCAACTAGGAAAGGGTCGTTGCGGTGATCTTAGGTTTGCGGTTAGAGGTTTGAAGCCGGTCGGGGTCGTTCTTTTCGTCTTTATAGCCCCAGCTGGAACACGCTTGGGTTCTCGTCTGCATTGGTCGTGACGACGCGTATTTGGTGTGAATGGTTCGGGGGGGTGAGAGATTGGGGTTATATAAAATGGTGATGGCGCTCGAGGTCTGTTTTGCAAGAAAAGGAGCACCAAGGGTTGTGGTGAGGTTTTGCGTCTCTAAGCTTGGTAGCTGGGTGGGAGGAGTCGACGTCTTTCCAGGTATGCATTTGCCACAGCTCCGACGGGAGGCGGGAATTGCTGTGATCTTACGTCCAGCACCTTTCGTCCTCTCTTGTGTTGTATAGCAGGTGAATATCAGAGGGTTTCGGGTATTCAATGAAGTTATGAGATAGGCCTCGCGGCCCCAAAACTTTGCGTTCATGAATCAAATATGACTGACTGGGTCATCTGCTTCTGCATGGCAATGTCAGCGCTGGAAGTCGCGAGTTTCAGGTCGTTTTGCTTCGAAGCTCGACGAGAACGCGTGAGTGGCTGCCGCCATAGAACAAGTGCCTGCCGCCGTATTTATATCACTGCAATATGCACAGTTGTGGGCTCTCTTGGCAGGAAGTCAGGCAAGAACAGGAAGGCAATTGGAAGCTGAGGGTTGGCATATATCTCTCATAAGGTCGACGGGATCGAGAACTCGAACGAGCCCAGGCGATTCGGCAGAAATTCACTTGAGTATCCGGAAGCGAGCTATGGGATCGGGATTGTTCTCTTCAACTTTGGATGGTTGAGATTGAATTGGTGTCTTGATATCTTTCGACTGGTTTTGGTGTTTTGTCCGTCATTATCATTTTCACTCTTCAAGTATTGGGTGTGTGTGTTTTAGTGCTCGAAGTGAGTGTCAAGGCTGTTGAAGGTGATACGGCATGACTTATGTTCGAGCTTTTCTGACGCTGACGGAAATCTTGGGTAATAGAACGATCAGCAAAGCTATAGCTAAGCATATCCCACCTGAGCTTTCAATCGACTTGTCCAATGCGTTGGGCTGCATCTGCTGGACTATGTAGTATAGTAACTCCTTGAGTAAGAGATGACCTGGAAAGCGGTGCTAATATGTGATTTTGTCGACTGTCACACGAGACAGATGCGTCGGTTACATGCTTTCACTATATAGGATCAAAGCTGTTTAGGACGATGAGTGCGCCAGTGATCCACACCTTTTCTGTCGCAAAGCCTCGGTGCTTGCGAGTTGAATCCAGCAGGATGCACCGTGGTTCACAGGAAGCTGTCCTCATCCTGATGAAGACTATAGTACTCGCAGAGTCGCCGCTAGCCAGTGTTACTCTGATGTTATCATCCCGGAATAGGCTGCTGCCAATTTGATTGTGATGCTGGATGAGGTGAAGTTATGAGAATGAGAGGTGAGTGAGATGGTTTAAATGCCGCTGTTTCGCGCTTACACCGTACACCGCTCAGGTCAAAAGGTTGAGCCGAACTTCAGCTCAACCAATTGAACGAACCAAGACAGAAACTGTCTGATTCAAGAGGGGAAAAAAAAGCGCACACTCGAGGAGGGCATTGAGACAAGAAAACCATCGGGGTTTGAGCCGCTTGAACTGAGCAAGACTCTTTGCCCGCCCGTGGCAACCCACGCAATCCCACAAACTGGCCAGAATGAGCGACACTCCCCACGCGCACACGACAAGGGCCCAAACTCGCCCAAATTTTTCAACAGCAACAGGCAAGATGGCCGAGCGGTCTAAGGCGCTAGCTTCAGGTGCTAGTCAAGTAATTGGCGTGGGTTCGAATCCCACTCTTGTCATCACCAACGAGCGTGAGCTCGACGTTTCTTTTTGCTCGTCATTATCAATGATTGTTTTGGTGTTGGTATTCTGTGGTTGAGTTTTGAAGTCTTGCGAAGAGTTTTTTTTTGGGCTGACTACTTCTGTGGCGAGCGAGGTTTAGTTCGAGGCGGGGGAAGGCGGGGTTGAGCTTGGCCACCACGCCTTTCCGCGGGGCATAAGAAGGAACGACAGGAGGCGCCGAGATGCAAAGGATGTGTGGGTTTACCATCGACCTGGCGAAATTTGGTTACGAGCACCTACTTAATCATCTGTGTAATATGGAATGGAATTTGGAAATGCATGAAATGCATGAAATGTTGTTGAGTCCTTCCTGCGTTCCCTGGCTCAGACTTCAGATGCAGCCGCCAGACCCACTTGCCGCCGGAGTCAACTCCGCTCCATGATACGCAGCAGCTTCAGGGCACCTAATGCAGTCTCTCGCGCGGCACTACAACCTCTAACCCGGTTTTTAATCGAGCATTTCCAAATAGATGAATAGGTACAGACTACGCGGAAGAAAAATCCATCTAGCTTGAGACAGACGGTCTGCCGGTCTCAATATCTTCACCATTTCTCCGGAACCACGCTGCTAATTACTTGGCATCTGCATCCAGGTTTGTCTGTTCCCTCAAAAACTCATTGTATCTTTTATAAAACACCAAAGTATCGGAAGCCGTCGGTACCACAGCCGGGAAACAGTGAGGCAGGCCGCCGTACGCATACAACTCAACATCCACCCCTGAAGCCCTCAGCGCATCCGCGTAAGCAAAGGCGTCGTCGCGCAGGACGTCCACTCCCGCACATTGTATTACTATCATCATGTTAGCCTGTGAAACATCTCCGCGTTGTAATTTCTTGCTGAAACTTACGTGCAGGAGGGAGGCCTTCAAAGGACTCGGCCAGCAACGGTGAGTGACGATGGTCGGGGACGGCGTTGGGCAAGTAGGCGTCGATGGCGGTTTCCATGAACAATATGTCAAGGACCGGGTTGTCTTTGTTCTGTATGTAGCTTCCATACTCGTACTTTTCCCTCGGGAAGAATTTGGGGTGGCAGATTGACGGAAAATGAAGCACCTGCGCAAGGACACCTGTGATGCCGTTGTCTCTACACTCGATTGCGAGGCAGGCGGCCTGTGACGCGGGGTTCAGTTGATGTTTACCCGGGGCATTCATCGGCGACTCACGAGGTTGGCGCCCGCGCTGCTGCCGCTCAGGATGATCTTCTCAGGGTTAATCCCCAAGATCTCTGCATTTGCTTTGCACTGAACATGAGTTAGAGATGTGCAAAGTTGATACTCAGTTCTCGGAAGAACGCACCCATAGAAGTCCGTCGTAGCTATCATGGAGGCCGCAAGGAAACGGATCTTCTGGCGCCCTGCATTGATGAGCAAAGCAAACGTCCACGAGAAGCTCACAGACTTACTTGCGATAGCACACACTGACGACGACGATGTTCTTGTTCGTGGCGGCGTATACATTCTCAGCGCCGTCGACTTCATGGCGTCCCACGCACCATCCTTGACCCATCTCACAAGTCAGCAAAGCCGCATCAAGAAGCGTTCATCCATAGACTTCGTAAGCTCTCGTTGGACGGTCGTGGTAGTCTTACCACCTCCGTGCATACGATACATCAAGACTGCATTTGGTCTGACACTGGGCGACCTGTATATCTTGAGCTCAATCTCTTGCCCATCCCGAGCCTTGAAATAAAGCAGCTCGGTAACCACCTCTCGGTAGCGATCCGGACCACCGGGCGGTATGGAGGCGTCCGCATCGCCGGCGATTTCCCTCACGGCAGCAAAGGTCGGCTGGGCGCGGAGGGGTGCGTACATGGCGGTGATTTCGGCTTTCGCTGCGGTGTAGTCAGGGTGCTCTTTGGAGAGGTGGCCGTACTTTGGGAGTGGCTGGGAATCGGCGTCTAAGTCGACGTATTCCACCTCGGATTTGAGGTATGTCATTGTGGTCCTGGCGCAAGGGCACTGAGTTGGTGATTGATATTGCGGATGGCTATCTTGGATATTGAGGAGGCGCAACTCGCTGCTTTTGTAACCGTTTAGATCGGACAAGCGGCCGCATCATCATAAGTCTCTCATGCAGCTAGGGATGACCCGATGTGTCTGTCGGCCATCGTCGGGTGATCCCAGTCAAGCGGCTTGATAGGCTACTTGATGTAATACAAACCAATCATTGTTCACCGTTGTGATCTTCACCCATTGTTTTTTTTTGCTCGCATCAATTTGAAAGTCAGCAGTGCGAGGTGTTGTTGTCTAAGGGTCGTCACGATGAATCATCGCCGCTATTCCGCACCAAGGATAGCGCATTACCATGGCCTACTCCAAGTACTGGCGCAAGCTTAGGAAACACCATAGACTTTCTTATGTCTGCCGTCAAGGCTACCGGCCTTGCATCAAGGTGGATGACGATACCGTCTCGGTCTTCGCGCTCACGTTGCTTGTTGGGCCAGCACCATCAAAGACATCATAGACAGTTAGGTCATGGATGCTTCACCGTCACAATGAGTGGAAATGTTACGTTAGTAAGAATTCGCTGAGTAACCTAGAAGAAAGGGCTGACACTCAAACACAATCCAACGCGCAGATTCGTACACCATATACAGCCAGACATAACGTATGAACACAAACACATCCGGATCCATCCATATCTCACGCTCTTAACCAAATGCAGATGCACGCCGAACCAAAAACGCACCGAAAATGCAACATAGGCCAGTTCACATTCACACATTGCACACTATCCTGACATCAAGCCGGGGAAAGCTGAGGATAAGCAAAACGAAACATCTGAGGGGGGGCAAAAGGGCAGCGGGGCCGAGCTTGGAGCTCGGCTGCACATTGTCGCTGCCAAACGGACCAGCTCAAGGGGAGGGAGATCCAGATCGCTGCTGCTGCATCGCCTCAACGAGAGCAGTGAGTTTGTCGATCTTGTCGTTGAGCTCGCTGATGCGGACCTCGACGGCAGACGGGGCGTCGGTCTCTTCGATATCGGCGGCGCGGGTTTGAGGCCTCGAGTGGCTGTCGTTGTACCGGTACGGAGACCTTCCAGGACGGTGGCCTGAAGGCGGACGGTTGACTTGCAGGGCGTTCCTGGACCGCTTGCTCGTTGCGCTGCGAGGTCCCTTGAAGCCGGTGTACTCGGGAAGTACACGGCGGCGGACGCTCTCGTACATCTGGATGACGCCGACGATGGGCAAGTGCGTGGCCTTGAGGAGGATGATACGGCTCTGGCGGAACTTGTCGTCCGACGGGAGGAAGAGCCGCAGCGGGCGGAAGATGACCAGGGCAATGAGATTGAACGGCGGGTAAAAGTGCGTGAGTCGGTTACTAGTCGACGCCTCGAGCACGTACACGCTGTAGACGTACAGGTACTCCTCGCGGGCGTGGGTGATGACGCGGGAGAAGCTGTTGGACAGCATACCGGTCAGGGAACCCATCAGGAGGAAGGTACTGAGGATAATGAAAATGATCATGAGGGTCGGGCCGAAGATCGGGTTGATGTCCTCCATGATTTCGATGCCGACGTAGGAAGAACCGAAGAAGATCTTGGTCAGGATCATGGTCATGTGAGAGAAGTTGTAGGCGTCTTGACCAATGAGGGAGAATGTCGTCAGGAAGCCGAGGTAAACGATGACGACGAGAACCATGAACTTGATGAAGTCCTTGCTCATTTCTTTCAGGCACGGGATGAGGGTACCCCAGTAAGGCGACAAGCTGAGGAGGGAGAAGACACGAGGGACCATGAAAAGGGCCTCAAGAGCGAAAACGTCGAAAGCAAGGTCGGTAATCTCTCTGTCGTGATTTGTGATGCCAATAACCCCTGAAATGTGTTAGTCGTCACGCCATGAATCTCGACAAGGGTTTCTTACGCAGAACGGCAAAGGTGATACCGATGCCTATCATGATCATGTCGAACATGTTCCAGATATCCGTCGCGTAAAAGATAGTACCGGCATCAGCCCATTCGCTGAGCTCGTCGTAGAGGAAAGCAGCCAACCAGATGTACAAGACAACTTCGTTGTGGGTGATGCGCTCGGTGTTCTGCTGGACAAGGACGGAGTAGTAGAGGATGAGGAAGATGAGGAAGAAGAAGGCCTCCCAAGCCTTGAGGTATTTGGGAACTCTCAGACGAGAGAAGACGTCGGTGGTATGAGGGTTGTAGAAGCGGGGCTTCTTCTCGGCATGAACGGAGAGACTGTCCCAGAAGATGATATCTCCGTTCCAAATGCCAGTGACAATCTTCTGCACGACATGCTGGCTGAGAAAACGCTTGGCATCGGCAACGGCTGCAATTTCGAGGGCGTTCAAGTTGGTGAAGGGAGAGGTCGGGTCGTCCTCTTCCTCTTCTTCCTGATCGGCGTGCATGCTCATGGTCAACCTGGACAGGGACGACAAGAGCTGATAACGCTTGGCGCTGCTTCCCGGGCGGACTGAAGCACGTCTGCTGTTCGCGCCGGACCAGCTACCGCCGGAGAGCAGAGGCGAGTTCTCGTTGCTCTCAACGTCAATGTTGGGCGGCGGCGTCTCCGACTCCTTGGGGTCGGGAATTTCATAGAGGCAGTAGTCGACGGCCTCGCGTTCTGACAAGCGAGTGAGAAAGCGCCAAGCGACAATCTCGCATGCATTGGCGCGGGCTTCGCAAAGACCCTTGTTGGACTCGGTCTCGTCGACAGCATAGTGCCATTTGAGAGCGCTAAGAAATGTTAGAAAAAATTGCTGAAAAAGCCAGTTGCATCGAGGTCTTGCATTGTGATGCCGGATGACTTACAGCAAAGCGTTGACGGTGGCCGGGTTGGTGCAGGTGGCATTGAGGTGATCGACCAAGATCCTCAAGCACTCTCCGGCTGCGGTGGTTCTCAGCTGCTCGAAAGTGCTCGGCAGAACAATGACATCGGTGATGTAACTGTACCGCCCGTCAGTGATCGTCTCAAACCCCGACACAGGCACCGGAAAGTCTGAGGACGCCCGAAACTTACACCGAGATCTTCTTCACCACGTCCCTGAAGCTGTCATTCGATTCAATGTCGGGCAGCTCAAACGTGTCGATGCGCATGGACACAGGGCTCATGTCCCGCTCCGCCGGCAAGTTCTTCTTCTTGACGCGAATGGGCATTTTGGCGGCCGCGAGATGGGATTGGTCAATGGAACGAAGGCAACCGAAGCGAGAAAGCCTCCTGCCGGTGGTCTGCAGCGGCGGGCTTGTGACGGAAGGGATGGATGGTAAGCAATTGATGACGGCGCGCCGTGTACTCGCGTCCGGACGACAACACCTCAGCGAGCAGGAAGCAGAAGGAGAGAAGGATGCCGAGCCAAGAAGGACCCCGAAGACGAGATACTGGTCCCTTACCCCCTGCCGTCTGAGTGTGCCGCCTGTCGCGCCTGCTTCTGCATTGAACAGGGGGTAAAGTGGGTCTACTTTAGTGGAAACGATAGAGGGGCGGAGACGCGCGGGGGCGAAACGACAGATGACCATTGGCCCGTGTTATTGATCTCCTCTTAATACAGTTTAGCGCCTTCAGGTGGGCTGCCGTGCTAAGAATAAAAGCAGGGCAGGGCAGGTGCTGCAGAACCTCAGTGAATCTTGAGAATTTCTCTCATCGTGATTTTCAGTGAGAGAAGCAAGAAGCTCTGCTCATATTGATCTCATGTTTTCTTCGCTGTTTCATGAAGAACTCATGTCTCGTCTCATACTAAGACATGCTATCATTTCTCCGAACATGTAGAAGAAGCTCAGTTGAAGATCGCCCCGCACCTTGTCTCTGAACGTTGACGCCAAGCTCATTACCATATCGAAACCTCGACTGACGTTGTGTTTCCAGTATCATTCGCAATGGAGCCGTCTGTTCAGGCTAAACCTGGCTCTGAATTGTCCAGTCGCAGCTCGCATACTCTTCGAATTAGGAAAATGCTCTTGAGATTCATGACTCTCAACACCTGGGATCATGACAATCTGGAGACGCCCCAAAGTAGCTTATTCCAGCCTTTCGGCTACATTCGGGGATAGGACGCGTCAGGAAAAGACGATGCCAAGCCACATATCCAAGAATTCTGCAGGTCCAGGGTCGGCGCGGTCCGCAGACGACGGCTTTCGAATACGAATTTCATCGTGGTTTTCACATTCAAATAAGGTAGCCTAGGGGATGTCTTCCCGTTGCCAAGCCTCTCGAAGGATTTAGAGGCTTTGTTCAGTGACGCGGCGTTGCGTGATGCACCGATGCCAACAACCGAAACTCACCAAAGTCCCATTGCTGAGCCTCGATCAGTCGTCGTGATGGTTACCAATCCAGCTGGTGGTATCGATGAGTTGAAAATGGATATAACCTGAATGACTTCAGATGGAGTTCGGACCAGATGAGACGACAGGCTGAACACACCTCACTTATATCACACTTTAAATCCATCATGTCTACCTTTACCGCAACAGGAACGCCTACGACAACCTTAGTCCCTAGCACCACTTCATCTCTAGAAGCACGATGCACGACGGCACTCCCGGGCAAGTATGGGCACGTTCCAAGCGACGCATGCAACTCTTACTACCCATTCGAGCCCAATTTTGAAGGCAACATCGCTTTCGCTGCGGTTTTCGGACTCTCTATGATTGCACATCTCATCCAAGCATTCGCTTATCGAAAGGTTCGTGACACCGATCACTTGGTTTGACATGTCTTCCTCACACGTGCCAGAAATTCTGCTGGGTGATTGTGGTTGGCGCTTCGTGGGAAACGACAGCCTTCATCCTCCGAGCACTCGGGTCTCGGGATCAGCAGGAGATGGGTTATCAGATTGGCGGCCAGCTCCTCTTCCTCCTTGCACCACTATGTACGTTTCATGATGTGCCGCAGTAACTCACGTGTCCAAGTTGACAGACTCTCGATAGGGATCAACGCGTTCGCTTACATGATGGCGGCCAGACTCGTGTACTTCGTCCTGCCAGACCAGAGAGTGCTCCGAATCAAGGCCACCGCACTCACAAAGATATTCGTAGCGATAGATATCGTGTGCTTTCTCGTGCAGGCCGTCGGCGGCGCCATGATGTCCAACACGGATGTTTCGCCGGACGACCCCATCCTACGCATCGGGCAGAAGGTTTACATGAGCGGCTGCGGTGTCCAGCTCGCCTTCATCATCGTCTTCTGCGGGCTAATGGGGCGGTTTTATGTGAAGATGCGGCGGGCACAGAGGCTCGACCTCAATATGAAACGGGTCAAGGCCCTGGTGTGGGTGATGTACGTGGTATTGTTCCTCATCATCGTAAGTACCCTGCGATCTCTTCTTGCTGTCTGTCCGTCTTTCAAAATATCGCAAAGACGTGTTTGACAAGACGGGATGAACGGACTGAGCTGACACCCGCGGAGATCCGGATCATCTTTCGACTGGTTGAGTTCGGTCCCGGCGCGGACATTGATAACCCTATTCTTGCCAACGAGAACTTCGCGTTCGGGCTGGACGCACTGCCCATGGTTCTCGCGCTCGTCCTCCTCAACGTCGTGCACCCAGGCATCGTTCTCAGAGGCGAAAACAGCGATTTCCCAAGACTGTCGAGAAAGGAGAAGAAGCACTTGAAGCGGGAGAAGAAGGAAGCCAAACAGGCTGCGAAGGCGGAGAAGAAGCAGAGAAAGTCTGGCAAAGTCGTGGAAGACGGCCAGGTCTTCTCTTTGGAGGAGAGACCGCTGGCAATCACTGGCTATGACACGGACGAGCGAACTGATGCGCGAAGGTAGTGAGTGGGTCAGAGCCTGGCCGACGCTGTCTACGGGGACTGTACGATCTTGCTGTTAAGTGATTGCATAGCTAGGGCGTTTGGAATGTGATTGACGGACGTGTGACATATCTGAGGGTCATACATCTGTGGTAATGTTAATGGTGTTGGATAATGCCTAAGAGAGATATGCCTGGAGGATTTTAATAGTGGTTGAAAAAAGTCGTGTTCAGAAAAGAAAATAATTGAGCAGAACAAAAAAAGTTCATCACAGGCTTAGGATGACGATCTGGTGGTTTCTTATGCCTAAGAACGAAGTACGATAATCTGACTGCCTACTGTGCCGAGTTGACAGCACCGCCACGGGGATCCACCCGGACCGGGATTTAGCGCGGGGTAAAAAAAGAAGCCCGGTTGGCGCTAACGGACGGCCGTACTACTGTGTTTCTTAGTACAACTTAATATGGCAATACAGTGTCGATAATTCTGTGAAGGATGCTGAGCCCGGCCTAGTGGAGTGGCAGAGTAAACAAGCGAGAAGGATGCCTCGAATGCCCCTGCCGGACGCGGTGCAAACTCACTTCCTTCAAGCTTCCCCGTCCAGATGCGCTGGGTCTCAACTCCTTCAATGCCCCCCCATCGAACGAGTTGTCTGTTCATTGCCCGTTCGGACCCGACTCACCAAACGTGTCAAACCGGCATGTTGGGCCCCCAAGCTGGAAGCTAAGACATAGCCCCTGAGGTGCACTGGGGGGCTTTTCCGTCAAGCTGGTTCCAACAAAAGACAAACGAACTTTGGGGTCGCCCGCCGCCGTGTGCCTGTATCAGACCATGCAAGCACGACAGCAGAACGACTGGTCTGCCGAGGCGAGATGTGCCGAGTCGACGGCGGCTATTCTCGTTTAGGGACATGACACTCTCGAACCAACAGTCCCCATCATGACCTAGTTCAGGCCATCTTCATGTCAGTTGTGGCCACAATCAATCAGTTCAACCGGACGGTGGGCAGAACACTCAGAAAAGGATTCCTTCTTTATCTGATTCGGCATGGCTTACTCTCTCGCGTGCGCATACTCGGCAAAGTCGCCGTCGGTGCTGGACTTGATGCCTACCTATTTCCAAGTTCTCAGATCCGCACGGACTGGGCCCGGTTGGCGCTTTCGTTCATCGCCACGGCAGAGCGTTTCTAGCGATCAAGAGATCTTCTAACCCCGGTCCTCGCCCCAAGCGGTGCGTCCAACCTGCAGCCGTGATACGACGGTAAGGCATGGTCCATTTTTCTCTTTGGGCTCCCCAGAGCGAAAAGGCGCATGCTTATGATGGGAGGATCTTTGAAACCACTGCTCCCCAATCAGCATCAGCCTTGCCAGTGAAGGCCCCCCGGAACACCCCCCTCGTCCTCCATGCCCTTGTTCCGATCTAAATTGCACCTCATCCTCCGATCCCTCGAAAGGATTCCTTTGTTCTTCTTCGTTGTTTCCTTTCTGCCTACTCTCCTCCGGCCCGCGTCTATTCCTTTCAGGCCTCCTGTCTCTTTCGTTGGTCTTTCCTGGCTTCTGTAACTGTTCTTAATCATACAGGTCCTATCGAGCGCCATCAGTTGGGATCTATCATACCAACAGATCTAATACGTCTTCGCCAAGGATATAGTGTACACAGAAGGAGGGGCTCTTGGAAGGATTCGAAAAGCGGGTGAAGACTGCCTTCATCGCCGCGATGGTATCTCACGACTTCATTTCGCGGCTCCCGCCCGCGGCAGCACTCATGTTGCTTTCGAGTGTCTTCACCCTCACCGATGCGTCTTTGGTCATACCTCAGAAGACGGACAACGCTCAGGAGCACATCGCTTTCCGCACACTAGACGTTCTCAACTGGCCTCTGGCTACACCCATGCCATGGCTCGGCAACCTTGGGAGGAGACAAGATTCTGGCACCAACACCGTCTGCGGTTATCTCGGCGGCGACCCGAACTTCCCAGCAACATGTTCCGCCGGATCTCATTGTGCCATGGATGCCAGCGCCTCTGCTGTTGGCTGCTGCCCGAATGGCGTTGCTTGCACAACAGGTGTTTACACTAGCTGTGTAGACAACAGCAGTCCGACTCAAACAGCCTCCGATCCGTATATCTTCACATGCCAGGGCTCGAACGTATGCTTCAAGAACACCTTTGACGGAGGAGCCTACCAATACGGTTGCGGTACGACGAGTGAGGGTACCAGTGTTGCCGCTACTGCTTCGGGGTTGAGCACGACGGTGTCCATCACTCACATCTCAGGCCTTATCACGAAAGCGGTGACATCGTCGAGCTCTAGCTCATCGTCATCGTCCTCAAGCTCCTCGAGCTCCAGATCTTCATCATCAAGCTCATCCACTTCGTCTGCCTCTTCAAGCCGTACACCAAGTGCCACCCCATCGAGACCGGCAGGAGGCGGTGGCCCTCCGCCGCCACCTCCGCAATCCGTACAAGACGAGAGACTCCGACGCAACGGCGCCATCATCGGCGGAACCATTGCCGGCGCGGCTCTTTTCGTCGGCCTTGTTTCGTTGGCTCTCTGGATGCGCAAGCGCAAGCGCGCAGGAAACCAGCGTCTGGGTCCTGGCCAGGGCAAGGCTCCCTCTTATATCAGGTAAGACCGCATTTATCCCCCCTAATCCGGGCACACATCCCGATCAGAAGCTAATCTGAATTCTAGCCCCGTAACGAACCAGAAGGACTTTGTTGCCGTTCCCGGTGGTGAAATGTTTGATCAGGCGGGCTACGGACACCCTTCCATGATGCCCGGTGCCCACGGTAATACCACGTCCATCACGGGAGGTAACGCTGTTAGCGGAGGCTTCGTCCCAGGCGGCGCTGTAGGTGGCGCCGTCGCGTCCGGCGCTACTCGATCTGGGGACGACGAGGTGCCCTTGACGCAGCATACCGAGATGACAGAGTTCTCACGCGGCTTCAACCACGCCATTGCTCGGGTTGACGGGGACGAGGCACGCCAGGGAAGCGCGGGCGGAAACAGCACCGCGACTGGAACGACTGAGGCGACAGGGAATGAGTCCGGCGCCGGCGCCGGTGGGAACTCTGACGCAGCTGACGCGCCGTTGTGGCAGCAGAACCGGAGGCAGAGCCGGAATCTGATGTGGATGTAAGGTGGGTTCAAAAAGGATGTGTAGGAGTATGAGGGCGCTAGGGGAGTATGACCAATCTAAAGATGGGGGCGTCATGGAGTTGCGAAACATTTGGCGTTAAGGCCACAGTGGCATGGTAATTTCGAAGCTGGAATGCTTCCAATGGCGTATATATCCTGCATCGTACATAATACACTGACAATTGCCATATGCTGGATTCTTCTGCGACGGCGTATAACGAAAGAGACAGTTTGATCCACAGAAAGTTATTTATCTATATCTCAATCACTCGATATTCTCCTCGAGGTATTTCATGTGCGTGGCAGGCATTTTCACTCACAACAGCCTTCGCGTACAGACTGCTTAGGTTGGCAGCGCCGTTTTGGTGAGATGAGATTGGTTGACTTGATGGCAGATAATTAGGTAGTGTGCTGTAGTGTAACGACGATATCCAGCTTATCGGAGTTTGCCAAGGCGCGCATCTCCGCATTCTGAGGAGAATGTCGGAGCCGACTGAGTCCGGTTCCGGGCCGAGGATGGAGGCCGGCTATACGGCCCCACTCCGTCGGGGGAAACCCACCATCGGTAGTCTAATCGGAGCTGGGGTTTTGGAGATTAGCGTCTGACTGCGAAACCGGTCTTGGAATTCGATAACGGACGACGATAAAACGGCTACGTCGACCGTCTGTTACTAATAGATAAGATGATGAGAACGAACACGAGAAAAAGAAAGGAGCCTGTGGATTTCATTCACAACGCACATATTTTTTTGTGAGCTTGGGAGACTTGAATTGCATAGCAACCAGAGAGAGACCCGTCACCTAGCAGCCACTGGAAGTTCAAGATGAACTCAAGTCATGATCGCCAATTTCCCATTTCCTTTTCCAAAGTCCCCCTTTTCCCTCTTAGGGGTCCTCGGTATCTGAGAACTGGGATTCTGAAGATCCAATCACAACGGATGAATAGAGGCATGTAAACCCCAACCAACTGGGAACTTATCACCGGAAGTTCCAGGGGTTTTGGACCATGGGGGACGTGGGCGGTGAAGACTTTTTACGCACTTCGTGGCCTCAACTGACTTGGCGGTACGGTCTGGTTGTGGGGTGTTTTAGCGACCCTTGCGGTCTTTGACCACTCATGTGTAACCTGGAGCTGTTTTTTACAGCCCCCTGCATGAAAACACTCCACTGTAGTGGAACCGTCCGGCCGCCGAAAGACGCGCAATGGTGCCCTCAGGCTGGTTACTAAGATTCGTTGGAACGGTGAGGACCTGGGACCGTCCACACACCCCAGTCGCGGGCGCGTCTAGAATGACGGAATGAGCTCCTGCTTAAATCTGTCCACACGGCCACAGCTCCAACTTTTAACAAAACACCACATCCTCCCCCGAGAGATCGTGAAGAAACATCCCGTGGTTTGAGCTGCGATCCCTCCCGTCCGCAACATCAATTCATTCACCATGGCTTCCGAGAAGCTCAAGGGCGACCAGCTCGAGGGCGACATCACCTTTATCAAGACCCCGCCCCAACCCCCCGCCAAATTCGCTACCAACGAGGACTGCGGTGTCAAGACCACCAACGTAAGTCGCAATTGAGCTGGTTGCTCCTTCCCGCCGTCCAATTGATGCTTATTGAGCTCAATTGGCCTCTTCCGAGCTCAGGCTGACGTGTCGCACCTCTAGTCCCCGGCTATTCACAATGCGCCCCTTCCTGCTGAGGGTCCCGGCCATGAGTCCTTCTCCAACTACCTCCTCGGAGGTCTGGTCTTCGGTGTTCCCTGGTGGCTCACCCGCACTTTCGGAGGCGGCTTGAAGACCTACATCTTCTTCGTTCTCCTCTGCTTCTTCCCCAGTTTGATCGTCGTCTGGATGGGCTTCTCGACCTACTCCCCGCGCATGAACGACAAGGCTAAGCTCCCCGGCCGCCCTGTCGAGCACTACATCACCTTCAAGAACGAGGCCGACCGCAGGAGGTGGAGCGGTCGCAACAAGGTCCCCATCAAGACCTTCTACGAGATGTACTTCGACGGCGAGGTCGACTTCAACGGCGACTGCCTCGAGGTCATGGAGTACCGCCACGACTGGTGCACCTTCCAGTTCACCTGGGCTGTTCTGCAGTTCATTCTCTTCACCTTCTTCCGTGACGTTGCTTTCCACTCTCAGCAACAGGATGAGGAGCAGGTTCAGCCTACCTACGACAGCGGTAACGACCACTACGCCTGGTTCCTCGGCCCTCGCATGATCTACACCAGCGGTATCTTCTCCGACATCACTCGCGAGGAGACCCTTGAGGAGATGCAGGACAACAAGATGGCCATCGTTTGCGAGAAGATCGAGCTCAAGGAGGGCGAGTCTATGCTGGATATCGGCTGCGGATGGGGAACCCTTGCCCGCTTCGCCAGTGTCAACTACGGCGCCCACGTCACCGGAGCTACCCTCGCCCGCAACCAGGCCGCCTGGGGTAACGACGCCCTCCGCCGCGCCGGCATCCCCGAGAGCCAGAGTCAGCTGTTGGTTTCCGACTACCGCGATATCCCCAAGAAGAAGTTCAACAAGATCACCCAGCTCGAGATGGGAGAGCACGTCGGTATCAAGCGCCTCACAACCTTCTTCCGCCAGTGCTACGACATGCTTGAGGATGACGGTTCCATGTACGTCCAGCTTTCTGGTCTCCGCAGGCCGTGGCAGTACGAGGATCTCATCTGGGGCACCTTCCTGAACAAGTACATCTTCCCTGGTGCCGACGCTTCCACCCCTCTCTGGTACTACGTCAGCTGTCTCGAGAAGGCCGGATGGGAAGTCAAGAGGTAAGTTTCTCGAATCTTTGTCGTCATGATTCGTGTGGCTAACATTCCTACAGCGTCGACACCGTCGGTGTTCACTACTCCGGAACCCTCTGGCGCTGGTACCGTAACTGGCTCGGCAACTCCGAGGTCGTCACCGCCAAGTATGGTCAGCGCTGGTACCGCATCTGGGAGCTCTTCCTCGCCTGGTCCGTCATCGCCTCGCGCCAGGGAAGCGCCACCTGCTTCCAGATGGTCGTCGTCAAGAACCTCAACGCGACCGACCGCCTCAACGGCTTCACCTCCCAGTTTGGTCTCTCCGGCGCCCTCGCGGCCGCCAAGGCCAAGGGCAAGGCCATCCTCAAGCAATAAGCGATTGAGAGGCAATTTGCCGAAACGGCTTACACGCGTCAATGGAGGGAAGATTCCAATCCTCTTTTGGTGTTTGGACTCGGAGACTCGGAGTCGAAGGGCTATGTAAAAAGGGAGGGATGGGTGCTTTCACACATACAAAGTTCATGTTTGGTATGAGATCGGGACCTTTGAAAAAGTTTTGGGCTTGAACTAGATGCTGTACAGGTATGGATCGGGTCACATAGAACAGTGCGGCGACGTGACGCGCCGCCTCACGTCCATGTCGCAAGTCTACTTGGTCTCAATGCGAATCACTTTATTCGCATCTCTGTCCTCCGTCAGTGTATGGCAAACTGTACCTCTTCCGGGTCGGTGTCGAGGAACTCGCCTTGCATGATGCCGTCGACGTACGCATCTCCTCGAGAGTAAAATCCTCCTTCAGCTCGCCGCCGCAGCACGATTGGCGAGCTTACCTGCCAGATCAGTGTGACAATATCTCCCGCCTCGAGACCTATGTGGCCTAGCCCAAGCATGCCCTCGCTCGTCTTGAAGAAGGTTCGCTCCCGGTTCTGCAAAGCCCAACTAAATCGCCACTCTCTTCCGAAGGCCGCGATATGGCTATCGTCAAGCGGGTGGGAACAGTCCGGCCGATAACAACCCTTGCCGTGAATAAAGTCACTCTGGGCAGTTGTCAGATTGGCGACATCCAAACTTCCCTTTTGAGATATGATTTGACGTATCTCTTTTGAGTTCTCGACGTCGTCGGTTGCGTAGTATAATGGCTTCGTAGTCCTCCAGATGCGCTCGTCGTCATATCCACCATCAAGTTCTGACCCGACAAAGGCAAGAAAATCCTCGAACCAGGCGTCGGGGTCTTTTACTTGGACTTCTCCGAAGAATTCGTCATCATCTGGGATGTTCATTACCTCGGTGATTTCGTCGACTATATACCCCGACTGAGAAAGAACCCGATTGCTCTGAGCCGGACCGGCTAGGGCACTCTGACGCAGCGATTTCTTCCCCATGGCGTTGTACCTCCTACAATGGTTGATGCGACATGGATGGACGCCCTCAATGCCAATCTTTCGGTAGTCGGGGACCCAGGTTGGCAGTAAGCCGTCGGCCTCGCCCGGCTTGACGGAATCTAGGCCAAATTTCCCGAACGAGTCGTTGTTCAAAGGCATAACCCTCGTGGCCCGGGTGAATATTTCCTCAAATGACTGCGTGTAATCAGCAGAGAGCATTTTGCTCTCCCCCTCCCAGATCACGCCCAGCAGCCCGATCACGATGTCGCGCGGGTCCGACGCGGTGTAGTGAGGCCGCCCTGGCGCCGCGCCCATCACCCAGAGCACGTCCACCAGCTGTGGATTACACCTATCGACCTGCCGGTTGCTGCGCACCTCCAGGGCCTTGATGCAATCCAGGGTTCCGGTCAGCCCGGTGAGATCCCATCCCCCGCATGACACCAACGACATGATCGCGGCGTCGAAGCCCTCGGTCTGGACCGCCTTTTCCCCCACTAGGACTACTGAACGCTGCGCCAGGGCGACCTCTTGGATGATCCAGACCCTGGACCAGTAATCTCGGCCGAGGATGTCAGAGAAACCGGATTGCAGGACGTCTTTGTTCGCCAGGTAGCTGTGAAAGAGGTCTTCAACGGCAACGCCCAACGCCGAGGACGGCCCCTGCACGACACCTTCAGAGCTGCTTTCCCGAAGAAATCTCCCCCTATTGAATCGACACAACTCGATCCTCTTCTTGTGGTCGATTCGGAAAGCCTCAGCGCCGCAAGCGTGAAGCCCGGGTCCATGTGCGGAGATGACGTCCATCGCCTTGTCGGTCTCCGCGGTGCCGGGTCCCAACCACATGTACACCGTCTGCGCGCGGCCGAAGATCTCGCGCATCATGTTGACCTGCTGGCTCTTCTCATCGACATCGGACTGCGCGATGCATATCGCGTCTACCCAGAGCCAACATTCCACGCCGTTCTGCTGCAGTTGGAGGAGGGCGCCGTGCAGGCTCATGGTGATGAGGAAGGGGAGTCCGTTGATTTCGACCTCAGTGGTGTTGGACGCGTCGCCCCAGACGTATGAGAGCGCCGAGTACGCGAGGTCGTCGTCTTCTAGCGAGGCGGACCGGAGCTGGAGTTCGAGCTTCGGGATGTTGCTTTCTTCGCGAGCTTTGGGTTGCGGGATAAGACGGACGAGTCTGATCTCGCGATGATCCGGGTTGAGACGGGCGTGGATGGACATCTTGGGCTCTGGCGAGATTGTTTTGCTCGACCGCGTGTCTGGTATTGACTGATGAAGGTGGTGAAAGCAAGCTGATGCCCTAGAATTGACGCATGTTCAATCAGGCTGAGCGATCTTGGCACATAAGCAAAGATCATGGAGAGTGTGGTACTGAGATGAGTGTGATTGGATGGGTCACGGAAACAACTCATCCCACGCTTTGCCGGGCAAACAACTTCCGTTGATCATTAGGTGACATTACAAACAGGTTATCAGTCTTAAACTTTGTCATAAAGACATGGCCTCCACGCCATAATGTAATCGGTGAAGTCTCAGGGGTATTCTTGGTGTCTGGTATTTATCTTGATCATTCCATCATGATCAGGAGTGATGTCTATGTGGTGATTCTGACACTAATGCCACTACCATATGCTATGGAATTGGGCGTAGACCTCTTCAACTCTACCTTCACCAACTGTCGCTTCCGGGTATCGTGATGGGGGATGGCTTGCCATTGAAGCCGTAGGAAACCAACCCACAGGGTACATCATGAAACCCTCACTTTGTTCTGCTGGAAAAGAAGAGAAACCAGATCCTGATTCCCGTCATGATAGCCATGACAGCCCACCGGTCACCCAGCTCCCCGGACAGACTCCTCCCCTTGAACTCAAAGTTCAACGGTTTGTTCACATTCAGCATTCCCTTGAAAAGAACCACAGCAAGCACTTCGTCGTCAGGCTCGCCGCCTTGCCCGGGCTTGGCGCGAAACAACTCAAACCCGTTGCTGTAGCCATCAAGCTTCTCCTTGTCCTGGATTCTCCTCCACTCGAAATCTTCCCGCCGTAGCCCACCTCCGGGCTGCGCGACTTCGATAGAGTAGCCGAACGAGACTCCGGTCTGACGGCTCGAGGTCTCCGATCGCAACAGCTCCGTGATCGTCTCCGTCCCACGCTCTTTCGACGGGGCGTCCACAGACGGCAGGACCATGACGCCGTCTATGCTCCGGGACCGGAACGTCCAGTTCTTCTCCTCGCAGCAGACGGCCAGCGCGGGGTCTTCGGCGCCGGGGCCGTTGTGGAGCATGATGCAGGGGATGCCGGGGCCCTTGCTACCGATCTCGCCCCAGGCCGAGAGGGCGTAGAGCTTGTGGTTCGCGCTATCGCCGAGGTGGAAGGTGCGCGTAAACTTCCATTGGTAGTACACGTTCAAGCTTGGGGGGAATGGGAGGTAGGGCGACGTGGAGTCGCTCATGTGGAATGGTTCCCGAGGCGCTTGGGGTTCGGGCCGGGGCGCGGAGCTCGAAGAGGATGCGACGGCATCGTGGGGCGTGTAAGCGGGCGGTGCGACGTCCGGTGCCGACGAGCCGACTTCGGCTGGGGGGTCTGCGAAGGGATTCTTGCTCATGTTTGTTTAGGATACGAAGTGTTCGGCGGAGAGAAGAGCTCGATGAGTTCAGAATGGATAACTTGTGGTCAGAAACAGTCATTTCGTGTCTGGAAAGGGGGCAGGCAGTATTTAATCATCTCCTCGACGGCGGGTGGGTTCATGTTGTGTTGTGCTTACTCGACATGGGTTAGCAGAAGAGATCGGCATGTTTTTGTTGGCGAAAATGAAGTCTGTGGCTGAGAAGAGATGGGTAAAAATGGAGACCAGAGTTGACGAGATAATTCGCACTGCAGCCTGCCCACCGTCGATGGAAGCTGAGTGGAAAGGCCTTTGAATCACAGTTTCTGCTTGTGGATATGGCGGTTAGGCCTCCAGCTCCAGAAAACAAGCAACGACGATGGAAGCGGCGCAGTCATACCCATGCTCCCATGACATAGGTATACAAATGCAGGCTCTAGCGATCAGCACATGAGCCAAAAGCACCTACATGTCTTCACCCATCGATGAGACAGTTGAGGAGACATTGGGTTTTGCATGCGACCCGCCATGAGGACTGATGTTGAGAGAAGCTTCTGCCGAGAACGTTCACAAGCTAATCCTCAGAACTGATGTGGAGCTCTGCTTCGTCTGCTGCTGGGGGCCAAGTCAAAGCGAGCCCGCAGCGCCAAAGTGGCACAGCTCCATTTGATACCCCTGGCTGGCCCTGGCTCAACTTCTAATGGAGGGCTCCGCCCGCTTCTATTCCGACATTGGAATAGCCAACTGCCAATTGATCCAACGACAACTCGTGCGCTCATAAGAAGGCTTACTTACATAGTGCCGCGATGAAAGACGAAGAGGTTTCGACCGGCCGCGAAGAACGAGACGGAGAAAACGCTTCGTCAAAGGCCAGCTACAGATGACTTCGCCAGCTGGCAGATTGTTCCAGTTGATTGTCTTCGCCTATTTCTGTTCCAAATTTCTCCAACGAAGGCGCCTTCAAATCGTTTCTGTTTCTTATAGAAAGTCAGCAATCTAGAGCGGTCTTAGCCGAGAGGATTATATACTTTTTAGAGGAGATAAGCTTTTGCTTCCACCGTCGACCTGGATCACGACCTTGATGAATGCTGTACTGAACCATGGTAGCCTGGAAGCCAATTTCAGACTACCTTACTGGATAAAAAAGAATGTGTTCACTGTTATTGCGAGATTTCGAAGAGTCGTAGGAAAAGAGAGAAAGTTTGCAGCAATGGCGGACTCGCGGAGTGCCACTGTCTACAGCTGCTATGGTCCATGGATCTTCTTAATAACTGCAATCGCTCTGTTCGACAACTCGCCATACCCAGCGAGAACACATTTGTGGATCTCCATTTACTCTCTTAAATACTACAACTGTCGCAATCTCTCATGCGTAATTCAATCTCAATATGCCGGTCATTACCTTTATATTTCGCTCTCATCAGTTCGCCATACCCAACAGCAGTGGCACTTCACCACATTATACAATACATTCGATGATTTTATTCGACATCTCGCCATACCCAAGGATACTCGCACATAATCAGGTTTCTCTGACTTGGAGAAAATTACCTCCGTCAAAGTTCGCCAGTAAATGTGTAGAGACACAAGAGCACGACGTAACGAAGTGTTACAATCCACGGAGTCGTTGCTTGATCCTCTGGACCCTATTTACGCCACCGTTGCGGGTGACACGAAGAAAGTCAACGATACGATTAGACGTATCCGAGTCATCCTGACTTGCGGCGACATTCTGCGCCAAGCGACGAACGACCTGGAACAAAGCGAAGAGATGGAAACTGCTCTTGAAGACGCTCTCGTAGAGGGACGAAATGAGCTGGCCGAGCGATTGGGCGCTAGGTGGTATGATGACGACTTCCGATATGCCAGAGGGCTGGATAATTACCAATGCGAAGTTTTCGTCGAGAGATACGTCGACTACTTCGTTCATTATCTCAATCGAAACAAAGATCCACCGGCAATACGTGCATACACCAGACAGGTTCTCAATCGACTAGAGAAACTAAGGGCCGGCCTTCAAAGCCCAATAGAGGACCAGACAATCGACGAGGATATCACGAACGACCCCGCCATATTCCTTCCTGGCAGCTGGAAGGAGATGCATCAAAGGTCAAAAATCGAAGATTTTATGAGGCTTGTCGGCTATCAAATCATTTTGCCCGTAGACGGTGCGGTGTCAGCGACACTTGGCAAAGAGAACGGCGAGGCTACCATCTCCATGATTCGTCTGCACGAGGAGCCGGACAGATACTTCAAGTCTTCACTAGCGGAATACCTCGATAACAATGACTGGTTCGATCTCGGGAAACGTATCGTCAAAGATTTGCATTGGATTCAGACCGATGGGAAGAAGATACGGTTCATCAAGCCATTTGTACCAGCCGTCGTTCTCACAATTCGGGCATTCATCAAAAACCACTTGATCAGACTTTCGATTCACAAGGACGTAGTAGTTGTACACGTCAAGCCAAACATGATAGTAGTCGGGAGATTATCTGAGGATTCATATGGAGAAATTAAGGTGACTCCAGGGAGGGATGGAAATCCAGGCACCATGCGCTCTGAATGGATCGAGGGCAATCCGGATCACATAACATATGAATAGAGGCTACTAGGGAAATATTGAATAAGCAAGTCTGATCATATGGAATATGATGGGTCCGTGTAGAAACGAATGAAACCAACACATCCGGCCTTTGAGAGCGACGAAAAAACGACGCCACCCTGCGACACCGACGATTGGTTTGGCTTCAGGCTTGATCCTGGCTGTCGCTTCCCATGCGGATACTAAGCTGCTGAATCAACATTTTTTGCGCTGCACTAATCAGAAAGGAGAATCGTGACGTTCTTCAGCAACCCGAGTCGCATAAGGTTACCTACTGGTGCCGTGTTATCCTGGACCCGCTAGCTGGCGTTGCAGCTTCCTCATTAGGAAGAGCCACGTCAATCCGTACGACGCAACATAGAGTCTGTTGCAACTCGCAACATCCATTGTCAACAAAGTACTTCAATCATCGGCATCCTGTCTCAAATCGCAACAATTTCGAACCATTCAACAAGCAGAGCGAACGAAGCTCCAACTATCCACGATATGCAGCTTCCTCAGCCTCCAATCCTCTCCCTCCAACTCACGCCCAGCTTCGACGAGGATGGGGTCAGCAGTCTTTCAGTGCTTTTCCGGTTACAAAACCCGAAGTTCGAGGCTGATAGGCCCGTATTCTCATTCTATCCGTTTAAAGACAACATCCCAGCCCATCCATTCACCGAGCGCGATGTCAAAGTTACCGACGACCTGGGTCCACTGCCGATTCGGTTTCGGGACTTACCACCTGAAGGTCGCAACACGCAGCAACACTGGTCCTTCGACAGAGAGACTCGCGGCGATGTCGTTCTTTCTTTTGACGTCTTTCCTCGTCATGTCGATGTAACGACTCCTCTTGGTGCACGCATCGATTTACGCAGGGATCAAGGCGGAGTGCATGGTGTCGGGCAGTGGTTCTTGCCTCTGCTGATATCCGATGAGGTTTTCACCAACGTAGTGAAGTGGAACGTGCCAGCTGATGCTCCCGAGTCTACGAGATGTGTTTGGAGCTATGGCGAAGGGACAAGGCCCATTGTTCGCGTAGGTCGCTCCGATACTCTTTGGAACACGGTCTACATGGTTGGACCTGTCAAATGCTATCCTGAGATTCCTCCGGCGAGCGAGGAGGGATTCGCTGCTTGCTACTGGTTTGGTGACCTACCACCGAACCTTGAACGCCTGAAGGCCTACAATACCGCGCTGTTCCCCAAGCTGTCGGCCTTCTTCGGGGTCACGGGCGAATCGTACCGTATTATTATTCGCAAATCACCTGTGGGATTTGGCGGAAGCGGGTTCAATGGGAGCTACGTTTTGGAGTACGAGAACGCCACGGCGAGCGAGACGGACGACTCCTTGGTTTTGCTGTTCACCCATGAGATGGTGCATAGCTTTGCCGGTATTAGCGCGGAAGAAGATGGCTACGAGAATGAGTGGTTCATTGAAGGTTTGCTCTACTTGTTTTTCGGTGAAGACCTGTTGAAGCTAACGCATTTCCACAAACCAGGCATTGCTGAGTTCTACAGCTCTTTCCTGCCTTACAGATTTGGGTTCCGAGGAAGAGACTTCCTCATCCGAAGTCTGAACGACCATTTGCAGGGTTACTATACTAGTCCGCGAATCTCTGTTGATATTCGTGATGCGGCAGAGATAATGTTCACCGACTGGTACGCTGAGTGGATATCTTACAAGCGCGGACTGGCCTACCTCCTCTTCCTCGATTTGTATCTTCGGAGGCGCAGTGGCCGACGAGACATCACAAAAAAGGGGCCCCTCGACGATATCGTCATTGATATTTCAAGGAGATGTAGACAAGGGGAGACTGTTCGCTCTAAGCAATGGCTGGAAAACCTCAAGAAGTATCTCGGCAGCGACGAGCTTCCGGCCGCCCAGCAATACGAGGACATGCTCCGTGGACGTCACATCATGGATTTCAGCGGCCTTTCCCTCGAAGGCGAGTCGAACAAACTCCAACTCTGCCATCTTCCAATCATGGACTACGGGTTCGATCGTAGCAGTGTACACACGCGCGTCGTGAAGGGTGTCATTGCAGATTCACCGGCAGCGAGGGCGGGCTTATGGGATGGCGCGCACATCATCACAACCTCAAGAGCCAGTCTTTGCATCGAGGATATTCGCAACACTTACAAGTTAGTGCTTCAGGATGGTGAGAAGGAGACCACGATCGAATACATTCCGCGAAGAGACGAGAAAGCGGTTGCTTGGCAATTCGAGGAGTGAGTTGCGAGCAGAGTGGGAGTTCCATCATGTCGTTTGGAGACCAGCTTCTCTATCCTCTTTCATTGTCAAACATTCGAACGGCATGAGTTGGTTTTACACGATTTGAACTTAATGCAATAAATTGAGACAGAGCAACAAGACTGCGACAAGTAGCAGAGGACTACTCAACACTCGAACAAGTTACAAGTTTGAAGAAGGCGACTTGAACTCTGAGTCGAGCTGAAACCACCAAGATGAGTAGTTTCCCAGTTGGTAACTCGACGAAAGTGGAAATAAGCGCAGTTGGAATCAATCTATCTGAATTTTGTAGCCACATGGCCTCACAATTCTCCAGGGATGATGCGAGTTCCGTACGTGGGCAAAGGAGGTCTCCCGGGCTTCCGATGAACGATAACACAGCTTGTAAGTGTTGTCATCGGTCAACATTGTCGCTGGAAGCTGACGTCTCGGCGCACGAGTAACGAGCCCAGGCTGCGGAGTTATCATTGTATCCGCTGACCGTCGCTTCTCATCCGGCACATTTCTCGTCCATACACTTATTTCACTTTCTCTATTTCGTCGAGTCATGTCTTGGCGATCCCATCCCGCATATTGATCCTCCCAATCCCCATACCTGTTCCAGGAATAAGATTATTAATCCCACAAGTACCGACGCCGCGGCACCGGTTCTCAACACTCCAGACGTCGGTATCAGATAAAACGTGGTTGGTGTCGTCGACGATGTTGCGGGCGTGTCTTGTGGGCAGAATTTGTGATCAACGTGTAAGTGAGTGAAAGAGTCAGACGAACTGGAGCCCACGCGGAGCCGCCAAGACTTTACTCTATTCTAATCAATATATTTGAGTTTCAAGGCTTATTTGCTTGACCAGAGCTCCAAGATGATCCGCCAATCACCATATTCGCACCTCACGATGCGGGCCATGGAGATCGAGCTGCACATCTACGACAGAAGCGCGCCTTACTCAATACCTGACGACGCCTTAGGGAGTACTGACTGAATGGAGATTAACTGGTGTCGTTCCGTAGTCAATTTACTGACAATGAATACGTATATAAGCCTGTGAGCATGTCGTATATCCAGTTGTTGAGCCTACCTCATCATCCGCTCTTCTGATAATCCGTTTAAATCGCCACTTCAACTCAATCCGCATCACCTACAAGGCTTTTCGTCAGAATATCACCAGCAATCATGCAGTTCAACATTCTCTTCGTCCTTGCTGCCGTCACGGCCGTCATGGCTGCCCCCAACCCGGTTCCTCAGAGCTCATGCAGCCTGGCCAAGGTTAACCAGTGTATCGCCCAAGTATGAACACTGACTATCTATTCTGGTTCAAAGAGCTTTGCTAATGGTTGTCTTTCTCTGTAGTGCGGAAACAAGCAATATGACTGCTTCAACGACACCTGCTTCTGCGCTCCTTGAGTGATTTAAACTCTCACTTCGCTCTACTCTCTTCTGTATAAACATTACCTGGCACAACGTATTAGCGACGCTGTCAATCAAAATGTACATATTTTCAACCCAAACAGGTCTATCAGGATGATTCTATGGATTTGTGCATGATTCGTCCCTCGCAACACGATGATTTAACTCCATTTCCGCCCGTCTACAACTTGCTTTTCTCAGAGATGAGCGTGTACGACTTCGGCAAAGACTCCAGCAAGTCCTTGTTAATATCAGCAACGCTGTTGATCCCCGCAACATTCATCAAAATATCCAGATCGGCCAGCAAACCCCTGAGCACATGCCTAACCCCATGCTCTCCCATAATGCTCAACCCCCAGATCCAAAGTCTCCCAATAAACACAAATTTGGCCCCCAACGCAAGCGCCTTGACGATATCCGCTGCACCCCTTACCCCGCTGTCAAACGTAACCACGATCCGATCACCCACCCTCTCCGCAATCTTCTCTAGCGCATCCAGACTGCCAATGGCCCCGTCAACCTGGCGTCCGGCATGATTACTGACCACGATCCCCTCGAACCCTAGATCCGCCGCCTTCTCCGCGTCGTCGACCCTCTGGATTCCCTTGATCAGGAACGGCTTGCCTCCGCTGATCTCCTGCCACTTCTTCCTCGCCCAGACCGCCTTCTCCCAACCCCACGCGCGGCCGTGCCAAACATTATCGATCCAGAAGGCGGCGGCCTCTTCAGGTTGCTTCTTCGGGTCAATGCCCTTCTCAGCGAGCCTTTTCTGGAAGACCGGATCCGTGAGACCTAAATCGGCCCCGATGCCACGGTAGAACGCGTAGTTGGACGTCGCAACGTCGTCATGTCGCCAGCCGAGCTGCCAGGTATCCGTGGTGAGCATACACGCCGTGAACCCGCTCTCGTGGGCCCTCTTCAGCAGCGAGATCGTGAGCTCGTCGTCGTGGGGCATGTACAGCTGAAAGAACCGCGGGCCCTCCGGGATCTTGGACTTGTCCGCCGACAGGGCGTCGATCGCCGAGCCGCGGCCGGCGTCGTTGGCGCGGGCGACGTCCTCGATCGGACACGACCCGGCCGTGGACAGGCTGTAAGGGATGCCGAGCTCACCGGCGACCTTGGCGACGGGGAGCTCGCCCTGCGGGTGATAGATCTTGTTGATGCCGATCGGGGCGATGCCGAAGGGCGCCGAGACCTCGTGGCCGAAGATGGTGGTGCGGGTGGAGCGCTCGTTGGTGTCGACGAGCTGGCGGGGCACGATCTTGTGCCGGAAGAAGGCCTGGCGGTTTGCCTGGTGCGTGTGGGAGAGGCCTGCGTTCGAAGAGGCGTAAAACCATCCGTTCAGGGTCAGTTTCTCCTTGGCGAGCTGCTCCAGCTTGTCGGGGTCTAAGTCGCGTCAGTTTGGGAATCTTGAGACTTGCAGGAGAGAAACTCACGGGTGTTGAATTGAGGTACTTCACCGTCGTTTAATTTCCAGAAGTTGTCGCGCTGGTAGAGTCCCCATGATGGGGTATCGCGGTTCTTGATGTGAGGGGAGTTGGGGTCCGACATGGTGGGTATGCGTGCGTGACAATCTGAGATCTCGATGTGTACTCAACAACACAGCTTGGTAAGGCAGAATTCAATCAAGAATGTCCGAGTTTTGTTGTGGAAACCGGACTTCTCTTTTAGAGAATCCCATCCATGTGAAAGCTGACGATTCGAGATCGTCCGGGTCATGACGTAACGCGTAGCTCATGATCCGAACTACGCCATAGTTTCCACTGAACCGGCAGTTTGGGCCGGTGTCTAAGCTTTGCGGCTCTCCAAATAACGACATTTCCACGGAATTCCCACGATTAGCCGCCTGACGTGCATCCGGTTGGTTACTCACGCACGCGGTATTTGAAATTAGAGATGAGCTAGTCGGACGAGCGCTGAACGACAAGACGGTTTCAAACAACGAACCCACACCAGTACACATTCCAGATGATTCGGAAACACGCACATTGCGGTTCGTCTCCTTTTTGCATGAAAGCAAATGCATCATCATTCATCTCATTTGGAAATAGGCTAACAGCGATCAACTCAAAATAAATACATCGGACTTTCCAGGCATTCTGATCTCCCAACATACTTCCATCGAGGGGAGGTAGTCACAGGAAGGAAAAGTATATGCCGCGTCCCCATTGGCTTCTCACAGACGAGCGGTGGCACCCACGAATTCGCCGGGGGCGTGGTAGTTGGGAACCTTCATCTCCAGGGCCTCGCCCGAGTATCCGAGGTCCTCGGCGACCAGCATGGCGGCCTTCTCGCCGATGAGCAGAGCGGTTGAGTACGTGTTGCAGCCGACGTTGTCGGGGCAGATGGAAAGGTCGGCGACCTTGAGGCCCTTGACACCGTGGACGTTCAGGCGCTCGTCCAGAACACCGTGCTTGACGATGCTGTTGCCCTCCTTGGGGGCCATGGAGCAGGTCTAGATGACGAGTCAGCTTTCGAACTCCCGCGCGGATAGTGGATTCACTTACTCCGAGGCTGTGCCAAGTGGTCTCGACGTGGCGCTTAACCCACTCCTCGACGGCCTTGATATCATCATCGCTGTACTTGAGCTCGTCGCGAACATCAACGCGGTTGCTGGATACCGTCTTCTTGAGGTCGGCCTTCCTGTCCGCCTCGTTGAGGGGCTGCGTCCAGCTTCCGTGCTGGATACCAGCGGACAGGTTGCCGGGTAGGGCGTACGCGTTGGTGGTCGGCAGGTCGAGGTCCCTGGCGCGAGCAGTGGAGTCGTATGCGTAGGTTGGGTGCATGTTGGCAACTTCTCCGGCGTATGCCTCCATGCGACGGGCAGTCTCGCGAGACTTGATGTAGCCCCAGACCATGGGAACCATGTCGCGCTCATCGTTCATGAAGCCGGCGTCGAAGTCGGGAGCGTCGTACGGGTTGGGAGAGGTGATGTGGGTAGATCCACGCGAGAAGGGGTACTCGAGGAAGTGGAACATGGTGAAGAAGTTGCCGGGGGGCCTGAAGTTGTTAGAACCGGAAGCTTCGCAGTGGAACGAGTCACTTACATGACCATGTGGTCACCGAACCAACCTGAAATGACGGAGTAGTGCATCACCGGCTTGTCGGGCTTGTTCTCGAAGTATGACTTCCAGCCGTCCTTGAAGTGAGGAGTAGGCCATCTCTCGAACTCCTTGAGCTCCTCAGCAGTCGGGCGGATCTTGACACCAGCATCAATGCCGTTGGTGGCGAGCGGGCCAGTTCCCTTGATGTTCCACTCGTCGAACACACCTGGTCGACTGTCAGCTACATGTAGCGCCAAACCGAACACCTTACTTACGCTTCTGGACCTCGGGGTTGCCCCGGACAAACTCGTCAAAGCTCTCGACGCCTGGCTTCGCGCGGTAGACGGAGAAGGTGAGGTAGTGGTCCTGGAAGTTCAGACCGACACCGGGGAGGTCGACGATCGGCTCAACACCGGCGGCGCGGAGCTTGGCGGGGTCACCAACACCAGAGCGCTGGAGGATGAGCGGGGACGAGAGAGTGCCGCCGGAAACGACAATCTGCTTGCGGGCTCTGAAGGTGCGGCCCTTGAGCTCATTGGGGTGCAGGGGCTTGGTCGGGCTGGCTCTATGTTAGTCGTGATTCGATATCAACTTCTCGAGATATTGCTCACATTGTCTTGACTCCGACGGCACGGCCGTTTTCAATGATGACCTTGTCAACCTTGGTGTTGCAAGCAAGGTACAGGTTGGAGTGAACAGCACGAGTCGCGTGAATGTAGGCGTGAGCACTGTCGCTGCGACGGCCCGTCTGTAGTATATTGAGTCAGTCACCGGATCCAAAACATGAACGCGGGAAGGTGAGCTCACGTCTCGGTTGATCCACTTCAGCCAGTGCTCGGCTCCGTGGCCCGTTGACAGATCCTGCAGATCATCCACGACAGGGATCCCTTGAGACTCAGCAGCTCGGAGGAAGTCGTCCTTGATTGGGTAGGTGCTTGACAGTAATGGTTAGTCTAGAATTCGGATGTTCGTAATCGAGAGTTGGGCTGAACTTACTAGTTGCCGAAGGAAACCTTGATTGGGCCTTCGAATCCGTGCAAGTCTCTGTCACATGACGAGTTAAGCAAAGTTTTCGATGCCCAGCCGAACGGATGCCGACCTACCGGTTGTGAGAGGCACGTTGATACGTCTCGTGCTTCTTCATGAGAGGAAGCAGCTCCTTGGTACTCCATCCCTTGGCCTGGAAGTCGTCGTAGTCGGAGGCAGATGCGCGAGTGTACATCTGACCGTTGTGTGAGCTGCATCCCGAAGTAGCAGATGATGAGTACTGACCATGAAGTTAATCGAAGAACCTCCGCCAAGAATGTTGGCGCAGGGAACAATGGCGGATCGACCAGAGAGCCATTTTGAAGGTCTAGACTCGTAGAAAGTAGCAGTCTTGGAGTCCAACTTCATGTTCCTGGGGTAGATACCCGGGCGGAACACCCATGGGTTGTTGAGGTTGTTTGCACCGCCTTCAATGAGAAGGACGGTGAGATTATGGTCCAAGTTGGCCAATCTGTCACACTGTTAGTGTTTTTCTAGAACAACATCTGAAAGGATGAGACCAACCGTCCAGCCACCACGCATCCCGCACTACCTCCTCCACACACAATGATATCGAACTCCTCGGGAAGTGCGCCGCTCATATTGAAGACAGACTAAAGATGAAAACACGTATTCAGACAGGTAGACTCAGCGTGGGCAGCAGATGTCAAAGCGGCATGAACACCGTGCCAGTTCAACTGCAACACTAATAAAGCGGTTGTAGAGATGAAAGTTCTAGGTGATTTCGAACCCGTCGGCTGGGACGAGCGTTAAATAGATGGGAGGACAGCTGTGCATAAGATCTTCTATGCTCGTCTTCCCCGCCGTTTGGTTTTGGGTAGGATAGTTCTCGACCCCGACTTTACTCCAGACCCTCCAGGATCTCAAACCCAAGATCCGGCAGGGAGGACGACGATGAGGGGAATCCATGGGCTATCCTTCCAGGATTCGCGAGGTTCTGCGATGTGATTTGGTCCAAAGCATGCAGAGTCCGTGTCATCCGGTGTTGTTGGGTTGCGACCTATCATCGACGCGCGTCTGTGAAGTGTATCACCCAAAGCCAATGCATGGCAGCATGGCTGTGCCCCGATCAACATGCTTCCCAGCTTCCCCGCACTTGTCAATGGTCGATGCAGCAAGAAGAGCAGCTTTATGCGGCAGATTGATACGCCGTTGGCACATCTTGGACAGCTATGAGAGTGAGGAGATGGAGAAGCCCACTGCCGGCCCTTCCAGCTTGCATCTTCCGCAGGCCCGAGTGTGGTTCCGTCCAACGCCAGTCCAACACCTCCGTGACAATTGTTCATCGCTGACGACGATTGAGTGGAGGACCGCAAGCCTCGTATGTACGACGGCGCCAAGAATCTGATAACGCCGAGTCGACCACAGTCCCCTACACAAGTTGAGCCGCAAACCTTGCATACCAAAGCGCCGTCTGCCTGTTTTAGAAGCTTCAGCATGTCTCATGCTGCCAGCTTAGCCCAAGTGGAAGCTAGGTATGAATAGCTCATGTCCAACAAAGGTTGGAGCTCGTTCCATTCGCTCCATTTCCGACCTACCTCGTTTCCCCTCACGAGCTAGACGCCGGACTCATGCTGGATCCGATGGTCCCGCATGGACAGTATCCGGGGCGGGATGACTGCCGCCCCCCGCGTTCTGCACCCCGCAATTCAAAGTCCGGGGTAGCATGGGGTGCGTCTAGCCCGTTTCTCGTGCCCTCCAATCCTCCAAATGCTTTCTTACAAGCCAAGTCCCTACCTTCAGCTGGACGGATGAGGAGAAGGTAGGTTCGAAATTAGGAGAATTGAGTCAGGAGATCCTGACGTCAAGCTCACTCACCGAATTTTCCCCGAGATGTTGGTCGCAGAGTTGAAGTCTAAGCTTGCTGTGCCAACGCTTGGCTAGATCGCGACGTACGATTGGAGGCTTTGTATCATGCCCAGCCGCTTCTCCACCTCCCTCCAACATTCCGGGCATCGTTTGCCTTCATGCCAGACAATCGAAGCAATCAAAATAGCTGCGGGCATCAAAGTGTTGCAGAACAACGAATCGTTGCTGCAGTATGTCGCCGACTTCTCATCATGGTGCAGGAAGCTGCACGCGAACCCCACTCCCATGCGTCGTGATGCCCCTCGAGGTTATCCGTTGATGGTGGGGGCTCCCACCATTCGGAGCACATTCCCGGAAGGCTTGTGACTGCTGAGCGTTTCGAACATCTGGCCAATGTAGCATCGGTCCCCCGGGCACCCGTCAATTGTTTGCGTCGTCCAAAGGACCCCCAAAGTCTGCCGAGCCCAAGCATCTGGTCCCTTGCCGGAGCTTTCCAAAGTTCTTTCCCCAAATACCTCTATTGGGAAGGGGGGGTTCGCGGCAATTGAAGCTTCTCATGGGCTGTTCCGTCCCATGCCACGGCCGAGGTTCATGTAGCTGTAGGTATACGACGAATTCGAGAGCGTCCAGCTTCGGCCTCTGTTCATAGCACCCAGGTCACGAGCCTCTTTAAGGTTTTACTCCCTCAAGCCCATGAAAACAAAGTGCTGAAGTTGAGTATGGGGCGGAGCTGGCCGGCGTGACCTTCTCTGAAGACGGATCGTACGGCAATTCGCGTCTCAGCGGAAGGAGTCTCAATGAATTGAGACGAATAGGAACGGACATGGCTTACATCGGTGCGGGGATGAGGTATGTCGGTAATAACACAGCGAGATTGTCGACGAGAATGATTGCTCTGCAGCCACATTAGCCACCAATACCAATATGAGGCGACAAACTCGTTGGGGAAACAATAACTACCCCGCGGCCAAGCCAATGGTATCCGCTGGACTCTTGTCACGGTGTTTGTTGGAACACTTCTGCCCATTCGCCAGAAGACTGCATGACAGCTGCGATGTGACGAGAACTAGTGTATCCCGCCCGATCAACAAGAAACCACCATAGATAGGCAAACAACGGCACTTCCCAGTACCAAGAACTTGCCCCCAGAGAGCGTTGGAAACGACAGACGTAGTGCAACCAAACCGCTTCAAATCACAATCAACATCGGGGGCGATCGCACCTCCTCGGACGACGGTTGCAAGTGGAGAGACCAAGAGGAGATGACTCGAGTGGGCGCCCGTATCCACGGGGCTGAGTCTTCAGAAGTCTGGAGCTGTTGCGGGGTTGAAGCAGAGCTCTCGTAAACGGTATGCCGGAGAGAAGGGCGATGTTGATGGTTGATGAACTGCGCCTTCGACTTGCAGCAAAATTGGAGAAGATTCTCAGTTCGTTAGTCCTCGAATTGTCGATCTCGTATCATTCGCAACGGAAACACGGCCTCCGGTGGGTACTGCGGCTCGGCAACCATGCATCGGTATGCAAAGGCGACCGAAAAGAGACCCGGCGGTAGCAGTGGTGGCCACAGGAAGCTCTCCACGGTTATGTTGAACCGGCCTCGTTAAATGCACGCATGCAGCGAATGGAACTTCTGGCGAAGCGTGGTGGCTCCAACGAAGTCCAACCGGCCATTGAGATGTTCGTTAACTTGTGCCGCTCGCTTGGCTGACGCACCCCGCATTCGTGGCCTAAACGTCCCCCAGCAAGGAAATAGCGAGAGCCATGGCCGTAACACCAGATCGCTCGAAACATGGTGGTGCATATGGACGACTTGACGGAAAAGCAACAGTCGATGTGCTTCGTGGTTTTGGTCTGGCTGGCATCTTAGCCGTCCATTCCAACTTGATAGAGAGATGACGATAAATGAAACCATGCGCAAAGAAGGCAATAGTGTGGCATTTGCCTGCGAAAAATTGACCGTGAAATCCATCGGTAATTTGGGGAATCTTCGAAGATCAATTTCGAGCTAATATCGAGACGGCCGTCGAGCTTTCATCAGGCTGAACCAAGGACAACGCCAGGCTTAAGGAGGAAACCGAACATAGCTACAGGCATACGGTAAGTGACAGCCATGTGTAAAGCGATGTCGCCTGGGCTGTTGTCAGCCAACCGCACTATCGAGTACAATGAATCTAGGCATTGGGAGTTGAAGACTCACTCGCACGGCGGGTTGGGCAAGGTCGTCAAGCATAGCCATCTGAAGGTCATGCTGAGCGTTCGTGATTGAGACCCAGGATGTGCGCAGTGGCGATAGTCAACGTGACGACATTGCATGAATATCGAAGAGGCCAGGAGAATGGTTGAAACAACAATGAGGGCGCAGAACAGCCAACCTGGCGCGCGTCCCCAGGTGGTGATGAAGCCGACGGCAAAGTTGATGCGCCTGTGATGTTGTTGAGAACTTGGAGTGAAGGGAGAAGTGGTGATGAGGAAGTATATCAGCATCGGTCTTTGGAGAGGTCACGGGCGGCCTTTGCATCGGGCTTTGCAAGGTGTTGAATGCCACATGATGGATGCAGCCGATGCTTCTGTAGATGCACCGGTAACTGTACTAGCCGCATCTCTTGACGTCGTGGTGATCGGAGACTGCAACAGCATGTGCTAGCCCAGAGTCCAAGGCTGTCCGTCACGTCGCGGCAATGGACGCCGCCGCCGCGTGGAGAGTATGCCGACGGAAGTAGGAGGTCGGGAAGAACCCGGATTGTTCCTTATTCTCCCGTGGACGGAATCCAGTTGCCCTGGGACCCTTCCTGCATTTTGGTCCATGACACTGGAGCCGCCATCTGACGTTGGGTTCCATTGCTGCGTGGTCAGGACGTTGAAATATTGTCGGCGTCCATTGAGGCTCATTGACCCGAGTCAGGTCGGGAAGGTGGATTTTCACTGCTCCTTCCGCACACCGGACGCAACTTCCATTCTTCTGACTGGCCCCATCCGGGTCCGGCCCCGCCCCGGACGATGTTATGTCAGCCGATCAGCACGTGACTGATATGGCAGCTTACATAAGAGAAGTTATCTGCTGCATTCACGTGACGACCCTTCACTTTTGACTCGAAAATTGGCGGCGTCGAGCCAGCTGAAGCTGAAAATAAGTCTGTTGCCGTCCGCCCTGGTGAGCTGAAGAATCTAAGCGCAGAAAGCCAGCGCTAGCACATGCAATGTAGGAGTACGATCAATTGCATCGTGGTTGCGTACATGGCATCTGCGTGAGAAGATCTGGCGCATATCCTTATTGGAATGTCGGTGTGCTCAGGCTACGACAGAGTACACGGTGAGCCAATTGTGTCTCAACTTGTGCCAGACGGTTCAATTGAAGGACAATTCGTGATTAATTCGAAGTTCCTCAAACACAGTGCTACTGCGTGTGGAAGTATGGGGTCCCTTGCTCACGTGCCCGGACTGTAACGGATCGACGCAGGGCTCCCGCCGGTTGGGTCTTGAGCTGCAGTCCTGCATTGTGGTGCCGGGCTGCTGCAACGGGGGCTCCGAGGGAGCAGTCGAGACTCGAGGCTGCTTGACAATCCGCTCCCGATGGACGAGGAGAAGCCTGAGTTGGGCTGAAGCGCGATGGGGCTTTGGGTTCTGTCTGGTTCTATTTCCAACGTGTGGTTGTCAGCATTACGAGTGCGCTTTTGTTGAGTGGCTGACGAGCTGTTAAAGTGTAGGTCATCAGCAACGAATGTTGACAAAGAATAAGGTCAATCTCCTAGCTTGGATCAAGTTGCCCAATAGA